AAAAAAGGAAACGCAATATATTAAACCAGGCTATGGCCCATTTACGAAAGCAGATAATTCTAAAGTTGCAAATTCAAAATTAATTGAATATATAAAGCAAATTAATGAACAAGAATCTAAACGCGACTATTTTAGCGGGCGAAGCTCTAGAGCTCACACCGGAGATCTAGATTATGCCGAAAGCCACATCCAAAGACGTATGTTACAGCATCCGGGAGATTCCAACTTCCCTAACTCAATTCTGTACACTCCCAAAAATGCTAAGCCCAGTTTTGATGAAAGTGTACGAAACCCAGTTCTTCAGTATGCCCACCCTGACCTTGGCGTTCAACCGGCAAAGGCCACTCGGGATAATATGGAACATTACGAGAACAAACGAAAAATCAACTACTACACCAGTGTAGTGCCAAAGAGCGCTCATCCGTATCCGATGGAACCGATAAACGGATACAATCAGCAGCGCAGTCAAAACGTGCCCTCCGCCAACAGGTACTACGAAGACGAATATAATAAATTTTCCTACTATGACCACAGCCCAGCTAAACACCCATATGGATATGGCTATGTCAAGCGTACTCCAGAACCATCACTGTGGAAAAGATTCACTGACTCCATGAAAGACACCATCAACACTGCAAGTCAAACCGTTCAACAATTTACAAAGCCTTTGATGGATCCCATCGCCAAAGTGACTCAGCCCGTATTCGATCCACTAGTTGAAGCCACGCAAAAAATATCCCACAACCTAGGATTATACCCTAGCAATTCCATTCAAAGTCAACGATATGCTCAAGATAAAATTGGGGTCGCAGCTGCCGCTGGAGCCCCGGGAATGTTACCAGCTCTCGGTTTAATGGCGAGTGGGGCGGCTTTAGGGCTTGGAGCGGTAGCCATGGGAAGACTTCTGGACGTCAACCTAATGCGTAGCGCCGACAACAGTGCTGATGAAGAAGATAAAGAACACAAAAGGTCATTCGGAGACGCCGTCTATGACTATGACAGAAAAATTATCAGTAGGCAAAAGTTCTACGACGACAACTACAAGATGCCGAGTGAAAATGTATACGTCGTAATGTCCCCTGACGGTAATGATAGAACAAAACGTAACTCTCTCAGCTTCTACGAACCTTTTGAAGTGGTTAATAATGTGAGACAGCGGCGGAGTGTAAAGAGGGCTTTAGGAGACGACATGACCGACGACCTACAACACATAGAAACGACGCCTACGCAATCTTCTCTCACGGCAGCAGCCATGGAGCTGGTGAAACAGACAGACTGGAGAAACTCGCAGTGCGCTAAATTCACATTCTGTAAAGTCCTCACGTCGCAGCCTTCAGACTCCATGTTCGCCATGGAAAAGAAAATGGAGTCACTGTTAAAAATGTAAGTACATTTGTTTATTTGCCAATTACAATCAAGTCGCAGTGTTGGCAGGTCGTAGGTTCGATCCCGGCTGTGCACCAATGGACTTTCTTTCTATGTGCGCATTTAAAATTGGCTCCAACGGTGAAGGGAAACGTCGTGAGAAAACCGGCATGCGTGTGTCAGGCTGATCACCTACTTGCCTATTAGATAGAAAAATTATCATGACACAGATACAGAAATCTGAAGCCCAGAGCTAAAAAGTTTGTAGCGCTACTGATTTATACTTTATTTAAGATTCAAGTCACAGTCACAAAGCACATAACTTTATGTTTGAGAAATCTTGTCACACCCGAGTATTTAAGTGACGTGCGATAAATAAAAGACAAGTTTAAAACGAGTAAACCTATGTCTCACGTAATTTACACTTTCTAAAGGTCAATAAACACTACAAGTACGGCTCATGCGTCGTCTACTTAGTTGCATATTTTTACAAATCAAAGACCACAATGGCCAGCGTGGTAACAAATTACAAAAAAATGAAAAAACGTTCTACTTTTGGAGAAATAAAGAAACACATTTTGTAATATAAAAATCGATCCCAATTTCTGTGAAAGTGGTTACAAAACAAACCCAAACCATTTCAATAAAAAAATCATTATATCATTTAAATTTTCATAAGAACATATCGCGATTTCAATTAACCTACATATTTTTATTCAGAGAGCGATCGTAAAAACAATAATTTATTACATACATTTTGGTTTACTATTATCGTTATGTAATGTCAAAAAGAGTCTTATATATTATATTTTACTCTATCTTTCTTCAATACTGTATCTAAAACATCGTAAACAATACTGATTTTAACGTAAAAATAAGTTTTAAAATAGTTTTCAACTTAAATTTTCTAAAATCATGCTCAAGCAATCATATTCCTTAAACATTATAAATAAACTAAGAGTACAAAAACACTAAAAACCACTAAACCACCTTGGTGCCTGAAGGCTATCCTTCTAGTGGCAGACTTGGTATTATTTGTATAATTATAATTGAATTAAAAAAATTGTTATATTCACGTAAAAATTACTTTACTTTATTACTTATAAGTTATCCTCATAATTAAATCGCGCCACTTGTAAAACCGAACACAATCGTAACACCAAAAGATTAAATTTAGAAAATCAATACAATCAATCTCATACAATAATAATACTTTTGACACTGAAAGTAGTTATGACAGCAATAAAACCTTAAAGCAAAAATGGAAAACAAATAAAGCACAAACTATTAAAATATGTATATGTATTAATAAATCAATTATTATTTTATAGTAGTGATTATACGTCGTGGCAATCGATATAAAACTGCTGCAAAATAAAACGATCGCGCGCGTTGAACTCTTTTATATACGTAATATCATCAAGCCATAATTACTTTAATAATACAATTTATCCCTGCATCGTTGGATATATCAATATATTGACGTATTACGTCTAGTACAATTCATTGAACAAGTATGTCAAATGATATGCAAAATTGCTTGGAATTCAGTAAAACCGTCGAAAGCATAATGAAGAAAATATATGGAGAAAAGTGAAATGCTTTATTTGTAATTTCTTCACGAATTATTCGAATCGCCACGCAAAGGCGATGCATACGCAATCATTGATTATTTATTTACAATATATTTTTAGGCAAAAATATCAGATTTAAATGTATTAAAATATTTTAACTAAAACTTTAAGTACGTATATATACACGACAATAGAACACAGTTTAACAATTATATTTATTATATATAGAGGTCAATTGGTATTACATAATTAATAAGCGGCATCAGACAGCACGCCGCCAACACCCAGTATTCGGTTACATAAAATCAGAAAGGGAAAGTGTTCGGCATTCCAAGTTGCTAGGAATTTTTCAATTTAATAATTGTTGCGGAAATAATTTATGACTCACTACAAAAATCCGATTAGTGATTACTATTCAAATCCACTATATAGCTGAATATTGAACGTAATGGTGAGGTATACAAATTGTTAAGTGAATTAATTAATGGCAATGTTTTGTGTGTTATTAGTTTATATCTTGCGTGTAATCAAATTAAAGATCTTTCCTCGATAAATTATGTATGGTGAGATTATCGCGACAAACTAACCCAACAAACTGTCCCGTTTAAGTCTAGTATAGGTAATCAACAGAATAGTAACAAAGGTAGTAATTAAAACAATGTTTATTTCCCGAATAACAAACTCGTTTCTCGTGAAAGCGCAACGCTGGTGAGCCCTTCTCATTCAAAGCCGCATCACCTGAGTTCCGTAATAGGAGTCCGGAGAAATAACAGCAAAAAACTCGGTCAAGTACCCGACAGCTGACGTAAAGGAAAAGTATGAGGAAAACTTATGCGACTTAAGTTTAACGGAAAGATTAACTTCGTGAATGTTTCCATAACTATTGAAAGCTTTTTAGTTTATGTTGACTGTTTCAGGTATTTTGATACTCCTATTGAAGAACAATGTACCCATGTACCCACGTCATACAAATCAATTCAGAATATTTTAGTAAAATTTCTAATAAGTTGTGGTTAACATTTTTGGATCGAATCTTCGCTACATTATAAAAATATGATTGCTTAAATTTGATTGATTGATTAAATGGTAAATAAAATGTAAATGCGTAAATTTCAGGATATCAAGAGGAAACGTTGCCAGTGCAGCTGCGGTCGCACATCAACTTGGAGACGTGATGGCAGCAAGTAGAGACCACAATTGCTCAAGGTTCCAATGCGAGGGCCAGTAGCTCACCATCAATTTAATACCATATCGCATTCTTAATATGAAATTATGTTTGACACGTGGTTAGATTCGGTTCTTCGATGTAATTGGATATGACATCAATCCAATATATCAGAATATCACGGTGTGAATTTTGATAAATTAATTAAGAAAATTATTTATTACTAGTAATTTAATTGTAATGTGATTGTATTGTTAGTTTTTGCGAGTGATTTTAATTTATTTTATAATAAGTGGTAGATATAAAATATTTAACAAAACAGTATTGCCATGCCTTTTTAGGGAATAAATCAAAATTGTGGTAATGTCAATCAATATCATTACCTTATATAAAACGATTCAATATAGGCGATATATCCTACTAGAAACCCTCAACCAAGTATGGCAGAAGAATGACTAACTTAAAAATGCGATCGCTTTTATCACTGATCTAACCTTAAACAAATCTATTATTCAAACATTCTTCCATATATTATTCCTACACAACCCAGTAAAACATAAAACTTTTTCTATAGAGGTGAAAAATTTTCTGTACTACCTAAAAATAATTATAGAAAAACATAGAACAACTCGTTAGGTTTGTATTTATATTTTTACGAATAAACTGACATTTTTCTTCTATTTATCCAAAGTTGTATATAATTAATGCTTTATTATAATTTGACTTATGTAGAACGCATAGATATTTATTTAAATTATTCTAGACGCAACTAAGATGTAAATACGCTTTCAAATGTAAGTTATCTATTTATTTCTAAAATAAAGACAAAATATCCTTTAAAATGTTTAATTTCTCAACTACTAGTCATAATAAATTGACAAATTATATTCATTCATTTATTCCAATCCAGTTAGATGAATATTTACCACCATTTCTTGTTGGGGATCTATAAATTTAATTGAGAGTAATTAATATATTACAAGGAAAAGTAAAATTTCGTGTCAACTAAATGAAAAATACGTACTTTGATCCCCGGCGCCAATGTCAAGCGGCGGGACCTCGGTTTTCTCTTCCGCTATCTGGTTGCACTCCACACACGGCTGCAGTTCTTCCTCCATCTTATAAAGCTATCCATAAAAACAAAAGATAAAATAAGCAAGCATGCAATCTTTTGAAAGTGGTTTAAGGAATCTGTTAATGAAATCATAATTACCAAAGACTCGTTCAAAGGGGTTATTATTTACAGACTTATTCAGTAGTATCTCTTATCTAAATTATATTATATAAATCAATGACATAAGACATTCTAATAAAGTATATTTATTTTAAAAATAACGATGTTTTAAAACAACTATATAATTAGTTGAAACACTAGTTTTGCTATTTGTTTAGTTATGGGATACACCCACAATTTCTGGTTTAGATTAATAGTTTCGACAACCAATTAAGCAGCAGTTGGACGAGACAATTACACATAGTCTAATAAAATGACTGACCCGTCCATCAGCTCCGTAGCCAGTGTATCGTTTAGTAGGCGCGCCCTCTGTCACCACAGCAGTGGCCTGTTCGCGCCGCGTACTCTCCGTCACCATAGTGTGGGATCCACCACACCATCGGCGGCAAACATGCCTATAATAATCATGATAATAATAATTTATTGCAAGAATGTGGTACAAAAATGTGTAAGGTGGTACAATCGCAAGTTCGCATATTCTGCCACACACAATGACGCGCAAATTTGTCTTTAAAGGAATTTTTACATTATTAGTCATATGAATTGTGCAGTTCTTATATTATTTGTATCGTACATATCATACGCTACGCAAATAATCATTAATTGTATGTTACATTTTTTCCAAAAGTAAAAATCTAAGCCTAAATGTAATAGATTTATTTTTGGCACAGCCATTTTCTCCCCAAGTCTACTTCATACTTCGACTTCTACATTTGACTTAAAAATATGTGTTTCTGTGCGCGAATAAGGTCATTTCTAATATATAAATACAGGGAAGAGATAAAATTTTGAGCTTCTTAAATAAAGGTACGCAACTATCAAGACAGTTTGCTCCACAAATTGCTCTAATACATTTCGTTTGAGCCTTAAATACCATATTTACTTCGACTGAATTTTCCCAAACTATAATTCCATATCTAAGTATAGATGAAACATATGCATGATAAGCAGCTAATACATTTAATTATATTATTTATTTCATTCATTTGTTTTTAACAAAGGTTCGAAATTTCTTGTTACTCTTTCATTTGTATTCTTTTGATGGTTTTTATTTTAGTAACTGTAGTCGTGATTAAATTGTTTCTTACATAACACTTACCTTGACAATTATAATACGGCGTGTTAATTGCCTTCATGAGTCTGGACAACAAAGGCGCTCACCTATCATCGGGCAGGTCGGGGGGCATCCAGTCCTTTAAGCAAGGCTCCTTAGAGGGCGCTTCAGCAGGCGGCGGGCGTAGAGCGGGCAAGCGGGGCGGAGCACCACGGGTGGCATCTCGAGGAGACATGAGCGCCGCTGTCCCACACGCCGCGCAGGAAGCCCCCACTGCCAACTGACGCTTCACTGCAGCTGCCTGGAATTAGACTCTAAACATCTATTAACATTCTCCTGAACGATACAGATTTTATCGTCCTTAACTAACCGGAAGAAAAAGATTATCAGTTAAAATCGATAAAACGCCTTTCAATAGAAAGTTACAGATAACATCGGGTCACATCTTTCTACCCTAAATCTAAGTCAGAGTGTAGTCAATAGTACAAATACCTTTGGTTCTCCAAGTACAGCGGCCAAAACCTGCAGACGCTCATGCAGCAGCTGCAATTGCTTTTGTACTTCATCACGACACGACAGTAGGTCGAGGATCTCCGATTTGCCATCCAAGATCTTATTTAAGTCCTTCACTGCTGTCTGAAATAATACGATTATGAGTTATTGTTACAAGAACTTAACCAGACAGAGACACACAGACATATAATTTATTACTAACAAAAACACACGCACATAAACACAAAAACTAATAATAATCAAAGGAAAAATTAAATCAAAAGTATATTTTTCGCTTTGTTTCAGTCTCCCATTCGGTTCTTTTCAATTATGTAATGCGTGTGTACTGTGGCTGTAATTGACCCTGGCCGAGCATTATGCTGAGGAGCAGAATGTTCCACAAGGCTGGTCGTTCTGCCAGAGACCACAGTAGCTAGTTTGCGCCTCAGTTGCAAAAAAGAAAAAGGAATGTAATAAATACTTAGTAGAAAAAAATTATAGTAATATTAGAAAAAGTTAGCAATGTAAGTAGAATAATGAAGTCTTGTGTTATGTGGTGTAGTAAATAAAAAAAAAAAAAAAAAAAAAAGAATAATTCGTAAAAATTAGATAAATATTTTATTTTTAACCATTGTATCGATAGAACCTAATAATAGTCTATCTACATTAGACTTTAACAATAAGAAAACCTTCTTGCTTTAATAGTCCTTTAATGTTAATATAAAAATAACGTACCATCCAGACATTATCCTGCCTCTGGAACTTGTCATGGCATACGGCCAGCCTTCGTTCTAAGTCGGCGCGGGCCAAAGCGAACTCTGTCTCGGTAAGAAGACCGGCGAGACGAGATGTGTCAGCCTAAAAAAGAAATCTTTGCGTTCCTACTTTGATGTGAATAACAGTCTTGAAGTAATCTAAATAGACCCACTTTATCTCTTAGCCCATCGGCAACTTCATCTTTGTCAGCTTTCTGATCACGCAGTAACTCTACACACTCGACTAGGCTCTGTAATAATGAAGGAATATCAGTTTGTTTGAAACGAAAAAAAACTATTCTCGTACAAATTCCGTCGCCATAAATTCATGCAACAACTTTTCGCCATTTATTTTTCGCATTAATGGCAACTTTTTAATACTTGGTTTAAATATATGTAAAACTAAGATAGTGATTTTGTCATGAATAAATGGCGAAGTAGTAGAGGGCCTTCAATTATTTAATTATATCGATACTGCAAAACAAAAAAAAAAAAAAAATATGACATGGATTGTGATTTGGTTTTAGTAATACTTCAGAATGTTATGATCCTAACAAGATATTCTCGATAACAAAACAGAATGTAAAAATGTAACATAACTGGTAACTTCAACATGCTTGATCCAAGTAGTATCTATAAAATCTCAACCAAATTACTTCTATAATTAGGTAAGTTACAAACCCTGAGTTCATCAGCCAGCTGCGTCTGCAACTTGGTGAGTGCCCGATGAGAGTGTAATGTTGACTCCAGCTCGGTCACCAGCTCTTGATACCGGCTCGTAAGCTCCACAACCGCTTCAAAAAATAAACAAATTTGGTACGATCCCAAATACCAAACCCAATTTTTACCTTGCTATCTAGTATAGCGTTCTCCACTCTCGGCACATTTACAGCTCTTAAAAAAAAATAATGCGTATAATAAAAACGTATATTATAATAAAATATTTTAGTTTTACGTGTTGCCATCACTGCGCTGTAATATATACGTTATTAAAGCCTCGCTAATACACTGAGCGTCTAGATAACATAATATATACTAGATCTAATGTGCCGGGAATTCATAGGCAAACATTACATAGACATAAACACATATAAAAGAATAAACAAGAACATTATAAATAAAAACAGACATTTTTCCAATATGTAAGGAGCGACGGTAGACACCCGGACGCGTAATGTTCTCTTTGTTTTTTCGACACACCATCAAATAAACTGAATATGTAGGTAAATTAACCTGCCGTTTCTGCATTATTATTGACCGTCTCCAACAGCGTCAGACCTCCTTGCAAGTCGCCTCGCATCTGTACCATTTGCTCACGGAAACTTTGCATCTAAAACAACTCAAACTTTTATTTCTAAATAGCAGACGAGACCACGGATATAAAAACAATATTATAATGTATATACAATATTGTACAAGGTGGGTATATAAAGCAATTATTTGCGCCTAATCAAGCGTTTAAGGCAAATTATCGAGGAGCACTAACGTTTCACTGCTAGTATCATTATAATAAGCGTCAAATCGAATAGGACTTTAAATAAAACACCTCACAAAAATAGATTGGTATCGTGTACATTGCAAATGTATTCAATATAAGTGAACATGGTTCTTGATAATCACAATTTGTTGCAATACTAAGTTTGAGTACTCATTTACCTGAGTGGAGAGGCCTGCGTCGAAGCCATTGAGCTGGTCTGCGTAGTCGACGGCCAGCGAGTGCAAAGTTGAGATACGGGCGTCCAGAGTCGTCGCCACGTCCACCTTATCGGCTGTAAAACGTTAAGTCTGTAGTTTATTTAAGTAATAATAGACCAAAATAATATTAACTACCTACTAATACTTACTTTTGTTAAATATCCTTTTTAGTCAAGTAGGTTAGTTTTAAATTACTTGTTTGATGCTTGTTTGTATAAATTTGGGCAAGATTGTAATGTTAAATGGTGCAGAGACAATTTATATCATATATTATATAATATATAAAATTCTCGAGTCACAAAATTCGTTCCCATACTCCTCCGAAACGTCTCGACCAATTCTTATGAAATTTTTTATGCATATCATAAAGTCTGAGAATCAGCTACTATCTATCTTTCAAACCCCTAAATTTTTATTTTTTAGATATTTTTTTTTGTTTTTATCTTTTTATGGTGGCATATCCAAAAATACATACGTCCCTTAATTTTCACCCCCTATCTCTTATTTGTTAATTGAAATCTGAGGTTTATATAGAGAAAAAATCACAGAAAAATCTAAAAGTTTTCATTCCAGAAAACCGAACAGTCTCTGGGGTAGCATAGCAAAATGTTCCATGTTGGTATGTACTAAAAAGGTAGGCTAAGTAAAATTACATTAAGGAGAAACGAAGTTCGCGGAAGCAGCTAGTTAAAATAGGCAAACACTGCTCATTGTTAGTTTAAATTTCCCCTAAAACAGTTCTTAATGGTAAATTACAGATTATATTAAAGAGTTGTAAATGTCACCGTAAAATTGTAAACACCGTTAGATTGTAATCTATCTCGCGAGATTGTAAACTGTCGAAAGATTGTGAACCTGAACGCACTACTTACAATTTAACGTATTATTCGGTAGATTGTAATCTATCGAAGTGAAACCGTCAAATTGTGAAACGGATCGCACCTCGCGCGCTGATTGGTTGAACGGAATATGCCCCGCGCCACCATATTTGTTTGTTAATTCGTTGGGAAGTAATATTTTACTTCCCAACAATTTCATATAACTAATTCTAAAGCTGTGAGTTACTTTCGACACGACATCAATTTACATTTTTACGAATAACTTCTTCTTAATAATACGTTAAATTGTAAGCAGTACGTTGAGTTGACAATCTTTCGACCGTTTACAATCTCGCGAGATAGGTTACAATCTAACGGTGTTTACAATGTTACGGTGACATATATATTGGCCTACAAGCAGATTTAGCCGTGTGTAAAGCGTTGTCAGCAGTTGCACCAGCGCGGGATGTCATCAAGTTCATTGCTTTTATGAGGTCTTCGCGCAAACGATTCACAGCGTCACTGAAAATTATTTACAATTATTTACGTTACATTACAAAGCTATTTTAGCAAGCTGAATTCTATAAATACTATTCTTGTAATAGTCACTAAACTACGCCACCAAGAATAATAATATTAAACCGTTTATTTGCAAAGAAAGTGGTACATTCAGGTTGATTCATTTTAAAACCGCAAAAACAGCCATATAAAAATAGGCATGCAAATTTCATGTAATAAGAACATTATCATAATGTCATAATAATAGTAGGGGAGCCCACGATGCTAAATGGGGATTTCCTCGAGCGTCGTAGAGACCTATTGGGATGCAAAGCTTAGATGATAAGAAGAAAAAATGTTATATGATATATACCTTTACATCGGTGGGGGAAGCGGCTATAGATTTTTAAATATGTAAAAAAAAACTGATGCATGGACATCCTCGAGCGCGTCAGATATTGATAGCATCAATGCCCTACGTATTTTTAATAATGTACGTATGTTAATCTGATCGTTTGCATGATGCGGGAGGTTGTATTTAAGGGTTGAAAATGAAAAAAAAAATTTAATCGAGCGCGTCAGATTTTCTGAGTGTTAAGTGCACCAAAAAAAAGCTCTCATTCACTAATCTGACGATTTCAATGGTACGCAAACCCGCAGCCATTTTCATAATGTGCAAAAAAAAATCGCCATTTTGAAATACTCAAGCGCGTCAGATTAAGATATGTATGGTTTATCTTTATGTTCTAAACGTACTGTCTCATAATCTGACGATTATCTAGAGGTATTCGCCTGATCTGACAAAAAAATTAGAAAAACGGTTCACCTTAAAGGCCATCCCTGCAACTTCCCGCTAATTCCATTCCTGGGCGCTTAAAATTGATATTTTGAGCTCGCTGAGTTCACCGAAATAATATTTCTATGCATTTGAGCTCTCCCAGCTCGAAAGTCTGATAGAAGTTTCATAGAACACTATTTTTGGAATTTTCAAACCGCAATAACTTTTGAATGGATCAAGCAATTTTCACGCGGTTGGCGGCATTCGACGCAGTTTTATCTTAAGTAATTTTGCAATTTTAATTGATCAAACCACAAATTTCGGAGTAATCCCGAAAAAACACTTTTTCGGGTTTCTTTCGTTCACGATATCTCTCGAACGAATCAACCGCTTTTGACCAGCTTGGTGGCGATCGACGTGGTTTTTCAAGCTCAAAGGCGGATTAGTTTTTGAAGTTAATCGATAAAGAAACCACTTAAAAAAAAAAAGGGTGCGTGTACTTATGTACGCGCGTAAGAAGTTATACTTCTTTGGCATTATTAAAAATAGTTTTTGATTGCATGCAAATAATTAATTACAATTAAATAATCAAAGACTGGAAAAGGAGTCATTAAAGTCAATAAAGTTCAGTTTACATTTGAAAAATTAATTAAATAAATATTTATTATTATTCTCTTACATTAAACAAATAAAACACTATTTATCTTTAAAACATTTTTATTTCATTATACTATTTATTTTTAAGTGACTCTAATGTCTTCATCAGAATTTCGGTTTGTAATTTTAAATTAATCATTACTTGGTTGTGCATCTACGAGGCTTCTCCAAAACTACTTGCTTTCTGCAACAAATAAGAGAATATTAATTTAAGCTCTGTCCATGCAAAACTTAAAATTTTTTATAATTCATATTATAAATTTTTTAACACATTTATATTAATATAATTATATAAATGTGTTAATAATATAATTTGTAGCACATGCTACAGACCTGGATAGCAACTTTCTTTTATTCTATTTAGAGATAGAGATAATTTAAATATAATACCGGTGTCTTCCTTGTAGGTTTCTTTGGAGTTGTTTGGGGATTCTTGTTGTTCAGTTCGACATGATTTTCTTTAACCTTTCTTTAATCCTACAAAATAATGAAATTGTTAAGTTATGTTGTCACTGTTGTGCACACCTTTGTTTGGCTTTTTTAGTATTCAAGTTATGTCAAAACTGATTTATTACCTTGTCATTGTTGGCTTTATTTGCTTTTGGGATATCAATTGTTTCCAAAATGATTTTATTTGTAATAACCTGAAATATATAAATAACATCTATTAATTTAAGTATCATGGTGAGTGGTTCGCACTCAGGTATTAAGGTGTATTATACCCACTGTCCATTATAAGTGGAAATGGGCTCACTTCTGGCAGGACAGAGTTTCGGTACTACAAGTGCAACATGGATGTTTTGAGGTATTACAATATCTCTAACTACCCTGTAGGGGAATAAAGTAATGTTGTAAGCATATGCCTATGCTTGAAAGGTTGAACCTTGAACATCACCATACATCATATTTATAATTAACATTCCTACCTCGACACCATCACAATCAAATTCATTGAAATCTACTTCAAACCATTGTGTCTCGAGAAGGTGATGGTGGCTTTGTTCCACCTCCAGTTTTTGATGTTTCACGGCGATAAGATGACAACTCTTTTTTTGTATTCAATTTAGTGCACTTCCACTGATTCATCAATTGTTTTTTGTCTCTTGTCCTTATATTTGCTAGATTAAATCTGATGTTTTGATTAAATAATGTGGTCATTTTTTTGAGATGCAGGTACTTATTAAAATGTTTACTTCTCTGTTATATCGCTCCAAGCCTTCATTTTCTCCTTATTAGTATTCGTGCTTAAATCTTTGTTCTCAATTATTGATATATAGGGTCGTAGAATATTTCTAAAAAGTTGCTGTAACAAACGCAATAAACAAAAGCAATGAATAATGGTTCATGTTTCAGTTTTAATCAACAATAATACTCGATAATACATACGGATAGTTAACCTCAATTGTATTGAAGCACTCAGGAAGGTTAGCACAGTTTTTTCACAAATATTTTATATTATTTCACAAATATTTTGTATAATGAAAATAACTAGGTATATAATTATTAATTTTAAACAATAATTAAAACTCCTATATTTGTTTAAAAGGTAAATGTCATTGTCAGATGTCAATTGTCATGGTCATTCAAAATTCTTGTTAAGCTGCTAAGCTAGAATATGCGTGAAGTTAGCTTCACGCATATTCTATTTCTTTTTACTTGTAGTTTGTCTTATTCCCATCTCGCTCGCGCACGCTATATCACACTGCCAATTTTGTGTCATAGGTGCGCGCGCAATCGTAAAATTTCACTCTCATCAATTTTTCATAACGCGCCTAAAGAAGTACAACTTCAAAAACAACAATTTTTTTTAGATTTTTCAAAATTTCTCAAAATCTATCGGTCCGAATCGGTTCAAATTCACAGGAAATGTAATTTTGAGGGAAATATTTAGAACGCTGTTTAGTAGATTCCGATCGGTTTAAGGAAATGTAGGCATCACGCAGCTGCACGCATTTAACTTTATCGACGAATTTTTGTTATTTCGGCTTGCGGAAATCGTCAGATTATATATTTTTCATTATTCTTGAATTATTTCCTTCAAAATAAAAAAAAATTTAGCTACGCTCGAGAATGTCGAGATGACGATTTTTTTTTACAACTTTGTAGCCCTCCCCTTTTTTTACGTCACTCTCAAATTGTCAGATTAGTGGAATATACACTTTTTAGGATGTAATTAACTCACCCTACCTTAATCTGACGCGCTCGAGAATTTCTGATGGTCAATTTTTTTTACTAATCTGATCATGTATCCTTCACGGGCGGCCTTATATATGGGCCTCATGTTTTGTGGAGGTACTTAACCGGGTACAAGGTATCCCCCTGTATATTAATCTGCCGCGTTTTAGTAAATCCCGAAATCCCCGCTTGGGCTCCCCTACTATAACGAAGTTATTAATCATTGTTGTCAAAACTTATGGCCTCGATCGTGGTCATCTATAGTATCAAACCTTTGAGAAATTGATTACAAACTGTGATTTTCTCGAAACCTGGGAAACATTATTAATATGACAATTATGAACTCACTCCATTTCATCCCGACTTACTCCTTGGTCTAAAGTGGTAGTGGATATTCTTGATGAGGGCTGCTTCATGATGGAAACGGAAGGACGTGGCGCTGGCGCAGTACTGGGGCGGGGGAGCATGGCACCCCGCGTGCTGCCCTCTGATATCTTCGCCGAGGGAGCTATTATGACCGACTTACGGGCCAGTGATGGACGTGCTTTCAGATCCTGAAAGAAGTATATAAATTTTATAATAATACATGGGAAAAATATCATTAAACAATCTTTACATATTATCCTAACGTAACCTAACATTAGTTAGGTTACAAACAAACATATCTATATTAGTTAATAATTAGCCAATAAATTAGTAGTATTCAAGGTATATAATAAAGCTTATCAATTGTGGTAATTCACTATATATGTATATTGTTTCGTGATACCTCAGCCCGCATATCAGCTGCTCGCTCCATCTGTATCTCCTCCATTTGCTGCCCCAGGTCTTCCGGCAGTTCTCCAGCAGCAGCCAATTGTGTAAGCAGACCGGTCATACGAGCAATAGCACTCTCCGCTGCCTTGACACGGGCATCGATCTAAAAACTTAATCTCATTTACCACACCTTTATAAACCGACTTTAAGAAAATTATCCTGTATGCGATGTTGTCACAATCGAATTATATTTAAGTATGATAATCCATACATAATAAATTCCATTAGTGCTAATATGTTATGTTTGTTTGCCCACAAACTTGGAAACTAAATGTCATTTCAAAATGTTTCTTTTATTTTTTCGTTGTTTAAGAAAATACTTGTTTACGTCAATAAGACCAACCTGCATCGCCTGCATAGTATCAGGTAAAGTTGCCTGTCCCTTCGCCAGATCACTTCTAAGCTTCTCATTGTCCGGCATGGCCAATGGCTGGGGTGCTGCCATGTCTCTCAAATCTCTCACTGCCGCCTCCAGTAGGGCAAATTGTGACTGAGTCACCACTTCAATACTGCCACGACCCTGAGCATCTATATACATAAAAGTAATATAGAAATTTTTACATACCACGATTGGCCTTTTTTACCAGAATGTTTCCCCACCATCTCATTATAACGGCCAGGAGGTTCACCTGATGTTACGTGATACCGCGCCCCTGGACACTCACAAAAAACCAGGAGGCTCGCAAGTGCGTTGCCGGCCTTTTAGGTATTGATACGATCTTATCTTGGAGGACTCAAAGTCGAATTGGTTCAGAAACATTTCGACAGGGGGCCGTCTTGCAAGAGTATTTAAAACAGAGCTGGTACTAGCTACCGATCGGCACCGCAGGGTATCGAATGAACTGTTACATACCCTGCAGGATCATATCAGGGACAGAGTCGGTAAAGACATCTTGAGCACCCGACGAAAAGAAAATAGGCACATAAGGGTAGTATGAAAAGAAATACAGCATTCTAACCCAATCTGTTAACCTGTAGTGCCACATTCGGCGACAGCCCGCAAAGGTGCGTGAAGGGCGCGTGGTCGGCAAAGTGCTCCGGACTACGCAATGATCTGACGAACCAAAAGGCGGGTCGACGGAAACTTGGTAGTTCTCCGGATTCAAGGTCAGCCGAAGGTTACAAAGGAGGTTCATGACCATGTGTCAAGTAAAATCGTCGAATGCCAAATTAAAATCTCCCGCTCAAATGATTTTCAATTTGTACCCCGGATCAGCCGGGAAGGATATCTGAGTCTCGGTAAGATCAAGGCCGGCTTCGCAGCCTCCAAATGGAATGTTGGAATTCATTGAGTCGCTATACAAAAACTACCTATATTTTTTGTTTTACATATATTTATTCTAACTGCATATTTATAAATATTGTTAAAGCAATTTTTTTTGTTGTTAATGTTAAGCTAAACTAAAAATATAGGTATTTAAAAAGTAACGAAACTCACCAGACCAAGTCGTAGGGCCTTTTTCAACTGTAATAAAATGTAATTGTTACATTAAAAATCCTCAAGCTAAAAATAATATTATACATTTAATCTTACCGACTAGAACACTGTCCTTTCCTCGTTTGACTTCTAAAACACAAGAAATAGATACAAATGCAATACGATACATTTTAAAACAAATGAATCATTAAAAAGTACCTTTAATAGAGATGCCAGAATCGGAAGGCTTTCTACCCTGTGAATTGAATTAGTTAGTTTCACAAAAATATTAGGTAAACAAACTGAAAATTTGTAGCGAACATACCTTTTTGGCAGACTTATTTTCTTCGTTTTCCATTCTTTCTTTTTCTTTTTGTGCTGCTCTTTCAGCCTTTTCCTGTTCCTTTCGTGATAACTTTTCAGCTTTTTTTTGTTCCCTTTCTGCTTTATCTTGCTCTTTTAGAGCCTGTTTCTCATTCTTTTCTAGATCTCTCTGCGCTTGTCTTTCTGATTTAGACTGTTCTTTATCAGCTTTTTCTTTTTCCTTTAAAGCAAGTTTTTCTTCCTTCTCTCTTTCTTTAGAAGCAGCTCTTTCTGCCTTTGATTGCTCTTTAATTGCCTTTTCTCTCTCTTTGGAGGCGGTTCTTTCTTCCTTTTCTCTCTCCTTCGAAGCTGCTCTTTCTTCTTTTTCTCTTTCTTTAGAAGCGGCTCGCTCTGCTTTTGATTGTTCTTTTTCGGCTTTTTCTCTTTCTTTAGACGCAGTTCTTTCTTCTTTTTCTCGTTCTTTAGAGGCAGCTCTTTCTGCTTTTGACTGTGCCTTTTCAGCCCTTTCCCTTTCCTTTGAAGCAGTTCTTTCTTCCTTTTCTCGTTCTTTAGAGGCAGCTCTTTCCGCTTTTGACTGTGCCTTTTCTGCCCTTTCCCTTTCCTTTGAAGCAGTTCTTACTTCTTTTTCTCGTTCTTTAGAGGCAGCTCTTTCTGCCTTTGACATGGCCTTTTCTGCCTTTTCTCGCTCTTTTGAAGCGGCTCGTTCTTCCTTGTCTTTTTCTTTGGAGGCCTCCCTTTCTGCCTTTAACTGGGCTTTTGCTGCCCTTTCTCTTTCTTTCGATGAAGCCTTTTCTTCCCTTTCTCTTTCTTTGTACGCGGTTTTTTCTGCCTTTTCTCTTTCCTTCAAAGCGGCTTTTTCTGCCTTCTCTCTTTCTTTCGAAGTGGCTCTTTGAGCCTTATCCCTTTCCCTAGATGCAGCTCTTTCTTCCTTTTCTCGCGCTCTTTGGGCCAACTTTTCCGCCCTTTCCATTTCTCTTTGACCACGTTCTCGCTTTCGAGGCTCACGTTCTTCCTTAAAACCACTACGTTTTGGACTTGGGGATGATGAACTTTCAGAAGAATCCTCAATAACTTCACTATGTTTCTTTAGCTTGTGTCGTGGTGGAGATACTTCAGCTATTTTGATCTCTACTCTTTGCTCTAATAAACGTTGTTGGCGGGCCAAAATGTGTAATACGGCTTGCATGACTTTAAAATTTATCATATTCACCTAAAACGTTGAAATCAAACATTTATTAAATTAAATAAATTAATACCTACAAAGAAGGAGAATTAAGAAGCTATCGCTCACACTGGGTGGTCCCATAGCCTGATTTATGAGATCTTCAACCGTCACCAGCAACCCGGTGTCGCTCATATTAGGCTCGTCTAAACCTCGTCTTTTCGACATTTTTTTTATTTTAGTCAGAACAATATATTAAACTTCTGTCTCTTGTAAAAAAACTACAAATATTATAGTCAAATTCTGTCAGTTTTTCAAATGTCATTCAATGAAAAACAGTTTTAGCGTTTCAGTGTGAAGGTTTAACAACAGCTATGGTTAAGTGGCACTAACCACTGTTCGTCTGCAAGTCCCGGAGATCTCACGTGCGGATGTGACCCGACCAGCCCGAACAACTCTTAATCATTTGTAGGTTAATAAAACAATACAAATAAGGTCGTTCATCCAGACACGACAAAGGGAAAAGGTATATCATAATGTAAACTGAACTGATTTCTAAAAAGTAAATAACTTATTTCCTACCTTAATCCTTTCTAATAAAATCTCCCAATGTATGAATGCTGAGACAGTCAAACAATCCAGATATAACCCCACAAAACGCATAAAATGTATGCTAGCCGAATTGGATTCGATTCTACGGATTACTAGATATTTTGGCATGACTGAGGTTTCAATTTTTGAAACCAAAAAAATAATAGTAGGATGAAAGCCATTGGAAAAAGAGGAGAATATTATAAAAATGAAAGGAAAAATAATTTACGGACGATCTGAGGTCGGGAAGGGGAAGGGGGTGAGTTTTAAGGGTAAAAACGGTTTATCTCGATTTCCGGCAAAACTAAAAGTCCAATGGAAAAAATGAAATGGCAAAGTTGTTGATAATAAAAAGATCTAAAACTTTTATATTCACACTTTTTTCACCTAACAGCAAAATTTACGTGAAAAATTTAAAAAACCATGATTTTGGTTTTTTATTTTTATCATTTATCAATTTATTTTTTTCCCACGATGTTTGGTGAAAAGTTACCTTTTTATGTCCTAAATACGCTATAATTTATTTGATTTCAATTTTTTTTTCATCTTATTTTGAATTAATATCGAAAATGCACCCTAATTTTCAATCGACAAAATATCAGCTTTTCAAAAAGTTGGTGTGCTTTCTATTCGTTGAAATCTCTACTTTCCGATGATAAAAAAAATATATTACTAGGTATAGTAAATCTTCTCAGAAAATGCAAAAAGTCGAATCGGGTTTCCGGGTTTCGGGGAATCCTACTATTATTTTTTTTTCACTTTTTTTTTTAAGGCTTTTACCCTGGTCTATAGGCACTACGTGATCGTTACTCGAGGAGCAACGACAGTGGTGCGATGCCAGTGAAGTGATCCGGCCGTGAGGAAACCCACGGAGGCGGTCGCACACGGGGTCGCGGGCCTGCTTCCGGCGGCATTCCTCAATGCCAGGCGGTCGCAGGCCACGATTCAGCAGGCGCCCTGGCTTAGCCCTGGGACAAACGACACCAAATGCTCATTCTATCCCCACTATATCAAATTCTTTTAGTGTAAACAGGCGTGCTCGCGCCCCTGAGCGGTCTCTTCAAAGCGTTCTTGTATTCTAGCGATTGTTCTAGCTCTAGCTCTTTGTTTGTTTGATTCTTCTTCTTATAGTACCATCTCCTTGCGAAGGTTGGCGATCATCATGGCTAGTTTAATTTTGGATGCCGCGCTTCTAAACAATGAGTTGGTGCTTTGACCAAACCATTATCTTAAGTTTTTCAACCAGTACGTGCGTCTGCGGCCAGGCCTCCTTCTGCCTGCCACTTTGCCTTGTATGATTAGTTTTATGTAAACGCTGAATACGAGTTTCGTTTACACTTAAAGATCACGAAAGAATGCTCTTGTTCTAGCTCTAGCCTCTAGCTCTGTATTCGTTTGATGTAAATTGGCCTAACACAGACAGCGCATGCTTATACCTAGGTAACACTGAAATTTGACTCATACCAATGCCTAGGCTTGCCCGTATCTGCTGATAGGTCACTCTCTTATCTTCCTCTATTATGCGTCGCACAGCACTGATGTTATCTTCAGTTGTCGCTGTTAAAGGACGTCCCTCACGCGGATCATCGTTGAGATTGCTACGTCCACGCTAAAACTCGTTAAACCAATTGTAAATAGTGGCACGAGTTGGGGCTTCATTAAGAAATGCTAATCGCAGCCTATCATAGCTATGTTGTTGAGTAAGCCCACAAAGAAAGTCATAATAAACCATTGGCCGGAAATTTCCTCGCGTTAGGTTCCTATTCACGTGTAACAAGAGTTTTAGATTTGCCGCCAATTCATAAAAACAAATGACAATTGAATGCAATATACTATCGGGTGGCGCAATAGAACGTGCATTTATTAAGTATAGGTTAAAAAAATAAATACAAAAGGTATAGTTGAAATAAAATGTAGGATGATTAGGTAATTAAATGTAGTTTATTTTTTAAAAAAACATCATCGAAGACGAACACGGCACTCCTCTAAACGCGAACGCAGATTTGTGAAAACTCTTGTCAATAAATCTGGGGTGATAGTTACCATTTCTCCATGGATATTGTCCTTTAGCTGACTGATGGTCCTCGCCCCTCGGATTGTTCATCGTCGTCAAGTCGGGGCTACGTGGGAGCCAAGGGATATTCTCTTTTGGAATATAGTCTTGCAGGAAACATCTGTCTCACAACCGCCATAGAGTCCTTTGATGTGTGATAGGTCGCTCCGTCTCGTTGGAACCAAGTCCTCGTATTCGCTATTCTCGATCTCGCAAGTTCTGGAGTCAAATATCCCTCTAACATCGCCACATAGTGGTCGGTGTTAACGGTGACGTTTCGTCCTCGTGAATCTTCAAAGTAGAAAGGGCCAATAATTCCTTTTCTTGATATTGCTGCCCATACCGTTACTTTCGGACTATGCAGTGGTTTTTGATGTTTCATTTTTGGATTCTCGTCGTTCCAATAGCCACAATTTTGTCGGTTTACGAATCCATTTAAATGAAAATGAGCCTCGTCAGAAAAAAGGATGTTGTCAAAAGAGGAAAATCGACTAAGCATTTCTTCAGCAAATGCCAACCTTGCTCCGAAGTCGGTCTTCTTTAATTCCTGCATTAACTGGAGCTTATGCAGTTTAAGATCCAACTTCGTCGCGACAACTTTAAAGCCGCCGATCGCTTCCGAATAGACACTTGCGGATTTTTTCCTACAGACTCCTTCACCCTCTCAATATTCTCTGTGGTCCTAGACTTTCTTGGTGGACCTTTTGCTGGTGGTTTAAACGTGGAACCGGTCTCTTCAAAACGCTTTATCCATATTTTAAATAAATTTGCACTCGGAGCTTCATGAATGTGTGTTAATCCATATTCGCCTAGAGATGTATGAACGACCGTTTACCGTACCGTTAGGTTACCAAAGAGTTCTAAAATTAAAATTCAAAAAAGTTTTCATTATTAATGTTTCTAACTGGCCAATTCTAAACATTTCATACTCATTCCTTCATGCATACTTAAGGTTTTATACGACTTTGTTTCATTATATGAACTAAGACTACATCTCTTAAAAAAATTGTATAGAATATGCACCATGTTCTAATCTGGTCTAAATCACCTGCAGCAGGGGGCTAACTTTAGATAAATTTTGTCACAACTATATTTCTATCATTAATAAAGTTTTATTATTACTCTTCCGATTATAATATCTTCGTCTCTTTCTGTCAAATTGTGTGTACGCTGTTACAGGTGATCAAAATGGTGCAATTGCAGCGATTAATTATAGGAGGAAAGGGGAAGGGGAAAGGGGAAGGGGAAAGGGGAAGGGGGGAGACTAACGTGAGATAAGACGAAACATCAGTTTAAATAGTTAATATTTTATTATAATAACTCGTCTCCTATCAACACGTAACATCAAACAGCAAGAAAAATAATTTATACAGTAATGTCCGCTCGATAATACTGAATACTGGTCGAAGCGATAAAACGTGGAATGCACGAATAATAAAATCACACAAAAATCGGGCAAAATAAATCTGTTTCGTATAAATATAATATATTATAATATAATATAATGTAAATAACAACTAACGCGCGAGTCGACCTCGGGAATATTTACAGAGCGCGCACGAACATGATATTGCTAGAATTTGAAAATTCAACGATATATGGAATCGGGACGTTGAATCGGGTCTATGGCTAGAGGGACCTATTTATCCTAATCCTAATCTTCCAGGTTGCGGAAAGCGGACGACATGTCCTCCAGCAGCTGGTCGAAGTCGGCCTTGATCTTCGCCTCGCCGTCTTTCACGGGGTCCTGGAAACGAAAAGCAAATTAGAGGCCGCCCCCTTCCGCGGAGATCCCGCTCCCGACACGACAGCGATACCTTGAACTTCATGGAGGACAGCTGGTAGAGCACGTTGCCCATGGCGTCCCTGATGACGTTCCACGTGACCTTGTTGTCGGACTGCGCGGTGGACTCCACGGCGTGGCGCGACATGTCGTAGAAGGCGATGATGTTCTTCAGCATGCCCACGGTCTTGTAGAAGGGGCAGAAGCGGTCGTAGGCCGAGTAGCTGCGGGACAGACGACGGGGAGGTGAGAGGGTCGAACCGGTCGGTTCCGAAGCCGTCGCGGCTCGGCCTCCTCTTACCTGTTCTGCTGCAAGAAGTCGTCCTTCAGCAGCTTGGCGACTTCCAGGGTGATCTTGTCGGTCTCGGCCAGCGAGGCCTTTCCTACCAGTTGGACGATTTCAGACAAGTCTTCTTCTTCTTGCATGATCTCCTTGACCTGGACGTTTCATTATTCAATTAATACGGAGGCCCTTCCCCGAGGCTTTTGAGCCGCATTCGATATATATACATATATTTCTCTCACCTTAGTTCTGAGGGGGACGAACTCGGGGTAGTTCTTTTCGTAGAATTCGTCGAGAGCGCGCATGTACTTGCTGCAATTACATTATTATTATTATTTAACGTCAGCTTCTACTCCAAAACTGAGATCTATCATTTATCGGTCGAGGGAAGAGAGGGCACCTGTATGAGATGAGCCAGTTGATGGAGGGGAAGTGCTTCCTCTGGGCCAACTTCTTGTCCAATCCCCAGAAGACCTGCACGATGCTGAGCGTGGCGGCCGTCACGGGGTCGGAGAAGTCTCCTCCGGGGGGAGACACGGCTCCCACGATGGACACGGAACCTGGAATCGTTAACTTTATCAGAGAGGATCCCGGGCACGAAAGCTCCGCGGAGGCCCGTCGAACTCACCTTCCCGGTCGGGGTTCCCGAGGCACTTGACTCGTCCGGCCCTCTCGTAGAAGGAGGCCAGGCGGGCCCCCAAGTACGCGGGGTACCCGGAGTCGGCGGGCATCTCGGCCAGACGCCCGGAGATCTCGCGGAGGGCTTCGGCCCAACGGGACGTGGAGTCCGCCATCATGGAGACGTTGTAGCCCATGTCGCGGAAGTACTCCGACAGGGTGATACCTGAAGGTTTTAACCGACGTCAAAAGGGGGAAGACCGAATTCGTCGAATCGTCGAGCTCGATCGTTCGCAGTCGTACCGGTGTAGATGGAGGCCTCGCGGGCGGCCACGGGCATGTTGGAGGTGTTGGCGACGAGGGCCGTCCTCTTCATGATGGACTCCGTCACTCCGTCGATCTCCACGGACAGTTCGGGGAAGTCCCGCAACACTTCGGACATCTCGTTACCTGAAAAGATGGGCCTTCGTCAAAAATTGTCTTCGCGACGGAATCGAACCGCGAGACCGCGGAGCCGGCGTCGCCCACCTCGCTCGCCGCACCCGACGTAGATGATGACGTCGGAGTTGGAGTACTTGGACAGAGCTTGGGAGATGACGGTTTTGCCGCAGCCGAAGGCTCCGGGGATGGCCGTGGTCCCTCCTTGCACGCACCTGAAACGTATTCATTTTCAGCCAATCGTCTCGCGATCGACATTCGAAAGCCACGAGGAAACAATTCGACGGCCTCACGGGAAGAGAGAGTCGAGCACCCTCTGGCCGGTGAGCAGGGGGTGGTTGGCCGGCAGCTTCTCCGTCACGGGCCTCGGCTGCCGCACGGGCCACACTTGCAGCATGGTGTATTGGGCCTTTTCACCGTCGAACTCCGTCTCCAGCACGACGTCCTGTCGGAGGAAACGAAGCGTTAAACTGACGATTCGAGTGATTCTTTTGTTATTTTTGGACACGAGTCGGGCTCGAATGTACTCACGGTGACTTTGTAGTTCCCGGGGGGGAGCGATGTAAGTGACGGTTCCCTTGGCGCGGGGAGGCACCAGCATCTTGTGCTTCACCAGCGTGTTCTCGTGGACGATACCGTACAAGTCTCCACCGGTGATGTGGGATCCCGTCTGTGAACGTCGTTTCATTTGAGTTTCCTCAATGGCGACTATTCTCATTGTCTCTCTCTCTCTTATTGTCACATATTGTTAAATATTTATTCAGAGTTATAAATTACTCAAACGAAATTTGTCTAATCCGATTGTTGTTTATGAAAGTAAACGATATCCGGCGATGCCACGAAGAAGGCCTAGCTCTAACCTTGACGTTGAGAGGGTTGAATTCCCATTCGGACACACGAGACAGAGCCGGCACGTTGACTCCTTTGGGGATGTAGATGGACTGAGTCAGATCGTTGATTTCTTTGAGCGGACGCTGGATGCCATCAAAGATAGAACTGAGGATTCCGGGCCCCAGCTCTACGGACAGAGGCTTGCCCGTGCGGAGCACTGGATCGCCCACGGTCACACCCGATGTCTCTTCGTATACCTGTGTAAGTTTCTCATTAGCTCACTAAAACAATCTTTGAAATTCTATTGAAATGAAATGAAATGAAATAGTTTATTCTTGCAAGTAGGACTATATAAATCACTTTTACAATGTCATCCTAAACTAGATGAAGTCGACATTTCCTAACTGACTGCCCTGAGAAGAAATGTCGAAACAAACTCGGGGGTCTTATTCATCATGCAGGGGTCGGACGTTCAATAAACATCGCGATCCAATATCGCGATATCTGTCTCAATATATACAGAATCAACTGGTCGTCCTACGCTTTCAATAGTTAAAAGATCATTCTTCCGAGGAGACGTGTTGCTTAGTAATGGACGAAAAAGTACGGCCTGTATTGCCATAATATTAACATGAAATGTGAGTAAATCGAAGAAAAAACGTCGTTTGGTAAAAACATGGAGAAAGCGCGATAAACATACGTGGTCAACTTACATTTCAATTAATTGAATGAAGTCAAGATTTCGGACGCTGAAGATTACAAGAATTACTTTCGTATGAATGGTATTCTATTGGAAATATATGATTTCGCCACATATAACCAAGCAAGATACTTGCATGAGAAATTCCATAACTGTGAGAGAAAAATTATCAGTCACTTTACAATATTTTGCTATAAGGACATCGTTAAAGATTTCTGCTACGTTTACACATCAATGAATATTGACGAGATCTCAAGGATCACGATATTTATTGACCATCTGACTGCTGCCTATGATTTGATCAGTCTCACACATCTATATCCATAGAAATTGAATAATAATTGCCTGTCCATGATGGATGGATCCATGCCCCATTAAAAGATAGTGCAATTTGTTATAAAGGTGTTTTCATTGTTATATATTGTATTAAGATTGAAGGTTAGATGAAAAACTGTGTGTGCAACTACATAATACCTGTATGGTGGCCATGTCACCCTCTAGCCTAATAATTTCACCGACCAGTTCATTGTAACCCACACGCACCAACTCGTACATAGCTGATCCGGACATTTTCTCCGCCGTTACGACTATAAAAACCAGCATTTTATTTACAAGTCTATTCACATATCCAAACCACACACAGACACATTATAATGAAATAATATAAAATATGCATATCATATGTGCACATTATAATAAAGTAATATGCCATATAATGTGCTGCCATACTGAGGCTACAGAGATCTATTTTATAAATATTCTGATTTAGTTCACAGAATTATAACTAACTTACCGGGTCCAGAAACAGCAAACACATATCCAAACCTCTCTTCATTCTCCTCATCCGCAATTGTCTTCAAATTGTCCTTAGACATTTTGGATATTTGAGTCTATAATAATCTAGAAATAAAAGTATCAATTTAAAACAGGGTTCAATGTATTTTTATAATGAATTTGATTCCTGTTTACTACAAGAACAAAGCCAGAGAAATCTTTACATAATAATGTAAAAATGATATTCTTATTAAAAGACACTATTTAACTGATCTTGTAAAATACACAATTTATTACAATATAACCTTATTCCTTCCTCAATGCAGTATAAATCTAGGACTTGCGAGGCTGAGTATCAGCTGATCATATTTTTATCAGAGAATACTAATCAATCCATCAATGTCAAATATGCAATGATATATAAAAGATTCTACCAAATTTATTTTTCATAACTTTTTTAATTATAAAATTTTATTACAGGCATGGTACAAGTTTATATTTAAACTAGATGTAAACTGCAATGCATGTTAATGTATCTTAATGTATCTTATGAATATAGGTGCATACATTAAATACTTTTAAGAAAGAAAGTTTTGCCTCTTTCCATAAGAACCATTTTATTAAGTCCTTAGTGGAATTTACTAATACCATAAACACATATTACTATATGTTCTTATTTGAATGCCACATTAGTTTAATTATAGTATTTATCTCAATAAATAATACTGCTAGATCAGAATCAACTATGATAAATAATAAAAGAAATAGGTACACACTATAATAAAAATGATAAATGTGATAAATCACATGATTAATTAACAAGATGAAATACATTGATTAGGCATGAAATTGAAAATAATATAACGTGTGGTAAAATTAGGGCCTAACATGGTTTATGAAAGATTTAGAAATAATTTTAAATGTATTAACAAGGTAGGCAATAAGGTGTTGTCTAATTCATCGATGAAAAACTATGCTAAAGCTTACCAAATACCAAATTAAAACAAAGTATCACAGCCTATATTACAAGCCCAATTAAATTAAATAAATAAATTCAATTACAAATTGAAATAATATAAAATTCGACTCACAGGACAAGAAAGATGGAAAAGACGACCCGAGAATGGCGGAGGATCACAACTTATCACAAGACCAATGATAAAAGTTGTGTCAGCTGACCCAGAGTCTATGACATTTTGGCTATGGTGAAGTAGAATTTATTGATTTTAAATTTTATGTAACTTTTAATGCGACTAAAATCTAAGAATTTTTTTTTATTTTTGATATGTAACATTATTATTACAAAAATAACAATCAAACTTAAATTGAACGAATAACTTGTTTTATTTTCAGATTTTTTTTACTTGCAACCCACTTTTCAGAACATTTTTTTGAATTACAGATTAAATCCATAATATATAAGGTAATAAAGAAAAATCTATTTTTAAGTTATTTTTTGGATACTCCATCATATAAGGTAGGTACCACTAGCATTAAACATATTCTACATATTTGGATGATTAACAGCGCGTCTGTGCTGATGGCGTTAGTAAGCAAAACGACAATGCACTGAAGGCAATAACACTGACAAACAGAGTTACCCTAAAGTGGATTAAGGGACACAGTGGATCTCTCGGCAATGATGCTGCCGTTGAACTTGCGAGGAGAGGCTCGGAAATGTCCGCTCCTACCCTTGCCCTTCTCGCAAGTGCGAACCTGGATTCGCCATAAATCTGAGGAATTCCAGCATCAACATTGGTCACGAAATGCGGACTGCAGGCAATCCAAAATGGCTCTGCCAGCAGTTAACCCGAAACTGACAAAGCAACTTCTAAACTTAAACAGAACTAATCTTAAAACAATGATAGGGACAATTACGGGTCATTGTCGCCTTAATAAACATCTTTTTGTCCTAGGCGCGACAGACAGCCCCATGCGCAGAGGCTGTTTCAGCGCAGAGGAATCAGTCACCCACGAAGTCTTGGAATGCGAGGCTGTGGCTGAATAACGTGCAGAAATCCTCGGAACAGTGAGTTCGCTCCGTGAAGCCTGCGTATTGCCCAGGAGGCTTCTGTGCTTTTGGAAGATTGCTTAGATGCTTAGTTGGCCAGGACTTTACGTACAACGGATCTATTGAGCGTCTAAGTGCGGAAACTGAGTCCACAAACCATTAACCATTACAATTGATTGGGAAACTAAATTAAAGTAAAGAAATTCTATACAGTTCGGAAGGAAAATCCAAAAGTAACGAAACTGTTACAAATTTTTCGACAAGATATTGATTTTAACGGAAGACGGATTCTCTACAGAATCTCTGAGGTTAGAAAAATATTAAGTAATAATGCCTCTCGCTCTCACTCCTTAGAGGAGGCCTGCCTTGCGATTCTGTAACTCTAAACAATAAACTACCTACTATCTAAAGCGAGCTTGGAGCGAGGTGGATCATTGTATACGCTGGTGGAGAAAATGGTTTTGTACCAAATTGTTGTCTGGTGTACAGGTTAATAAGTGTATCTACTGATCACCAAGATAATTTTACTAATTGGGCGACAGAGAAGCTAATACCAAATCTAACAAGATTTCAAGACATTCATTGTTAAGGATAAAATCTAGTTATCATTCCGTACGTAGGAACAAACCGCCCACGGAAGCCAATCATATTGCTGATATGCACGGCTTCGTGCAAATTATTTACATTAAGAAGATGTTTGGCGTAAATGTCAACTGCTTGAACTAGTGAAACAACACATGTCTGCTATTATATGAGATAGATGAAGCATTAAAATCGCACGGTCGTGACTCCCACCTTATCATTGCACGTTAAATCCCATAGAAATGGTTTACGGGGTATTGTGTAGCAAATAAATTCTGATAAACATGTAAATAGACCTGCAACTATCAAGTGACATAAATATAATTAATAGAAGAAGCTTTCTCACAAATCAGTGCAAAGGATTGGCGAAAATTTTTTGAACATGCAAAGAAAATTGAAAACGATTTCATCAAGCAAGATATAATTATTAAAATGCAAGAAAGAGCGATTTTAAACGAACATCTCTTTATCTTCATCATCTGATGAAGGACAAGAAATGCAAGTGGAGTTCTTGGAATCGTCTTCTAATTCTAGTTAGGTTTTAAGTTATTTGTGTGATCGTAATGATAAATAATTATTCCATAAAGTAATTTACGATTTATTAGTTTAAAAAAAACTTATTTCGGATTTTCTTTTCTTGTTGACTTTTTTCTTGGCTTGAAATTTTTTTCCGAAGCAGCACTTCACTTTCTTTGGTAATCGTGCTTACAGTTTTTTCAGGTACTCCTGAAACAAACAAAAAACTTTAAATGACAGATGTCTGATAATAATTGTTTCATGAATACAATGATGTAGTCCATTGAAATGTTACATGGGCTGAACATTTGATAGAGGACGCAATTTTATTTATGGGACATGTAGGGGTTGGGGTCAATACAAGCTTGCAAGCTATCTCCTAAACTATCCATCGTACAAAAAATTTGTAAGACAAATTTTGTAGCAAATCGCTTTGCCTACAATTATGTCTGTGTGACTTTTTATCATAAATCCAAAATTCAAAAAGTTATAAATAAAAAAGTAAAAAAATATCCTATTTTGCTTAATAACTTTTTTTCAGTTGATTTTATCAAGAAAATATTTCGGAACAATATTGTAGAAGATCTCTTTCTGAAGATGTTCCTCTATTTTTTTTAAATTTAGTTTCTAACAAATGTTCAGTTTGGCTCTCAAATTGTCACATTTCAATGGACTAATGCTTTTGCATACTTTAAATACAACTAATATCTATAACTAAGATCGTACAGAAAATGTACGTTTTTTTGTACCTGGCAACATTTCGTAATGAAACAAATATAATATATTCGTTTTTATTTTTTTTAAATAAATAAATTAAATAAACGAATATATACTCCACCGGCAAGTATTATGTTCGGAGAATACCCCAACAACCTAACGTATCTATAACCAAAAGAGGAGAGCCTTCATTTGGCAGCCACTAATTTTAGATAAAAACTTTCCGCTTTTATGTTGTACGATCTTTTCATTTCAAAAATTCCTTAGTGTACGATTTTTTTGTAGTCGGGTTATGATTATGCGTTTTTTTCATCTGGCAGCCCAGATCTGTGGATATTTTATTTTAATGGCCCGCACGAATCTGTGGTGTTAGTTCTAGTCTTTGGTTAGTTAATAGTTTATTATTATTCCTTTTTTACCATCTACTTGCCATCATTGTTAATTATCTTGTTTATTTCTATTTTTATTCATAAAAGTGATTTCTAAATACAATTTGTCTTATTAAAAGTTTTACTATGAAACAACTATCAAATATATTGGTATAAAATATACTTCATGTAGGTTTACAATATATATCACCCAAGTATATTGTAAATTAGGTATCTTAATAAAATATGATCGTAACATTATATTATATTATAATGCAGGAATAAATTTGGCGCAGACCGGCAACTAAGTAGGTCGCTATCCTGGGTTCTTCGCCACGGAGCCGTAAAAGAGGGGCTTGTTATAAGGTTGGTAAACAATGATAACTGCAATATGCATGTGGCATTTTTACTTATCAACAGTACCTTCATTCGAGACTGGATACAATACAATATAATTTACGAATAAAATGCTTGAAAGTAGATACTAAGTATATAAACCTCTTACACATTATGTTTTGCTTTTGTAAAGGAAATATGTAAAATTTAAATTTCTGATCATTTACGGATTTATTACTAATATTGCATGGTTGTTTTATGTTCGCATTTATTTACATTAAAATTAATGTTAATATATTTTATAGTGGTAATTATTTTATAGCGATGAAGGCTATATATCAGTAATATCAATTTTGCATCATAAATATTTTCAAAAATATAAGTTGGTGGATATAGAGAGAGTTGTAACCAATAATGAAAAACAAAGGTTTACCCTAAGGCTGAATCCATCTACTAAACTTGTGGAGATTAAAGCTAATTTAAGGCCATTCCCTTGATATTGTTTTGAATGCTGGTTTGACTCCAATATTAGAGGTAGGATAATTTTATTATTAAAGTGCTAGACATATTTTCATCTTAAATTTACCGGTGTTGCATAATTGATATATGTTAAGTTATCTTAAACCTCTTGGGTCCTGTTAAACATAAATAATTTTCAGCCTAAATACTCAATAGTCGTTCATGGTACATATTTACTTAATTGGGAGTCCATACAAGCCCTTGGCTTAAGCCGTATGAAAAGAAAGCATATTCATTTTGCAAAGGGTACATTAGGAGATCCCAGTGTCAAGAGTGGAATGCGAAAAGATGTTCAGGTGTTGATTTACATTGATTTAGAACAGGCACTCAAAGATCTTAAGTTTTACGAGTCAGAGAATGGTGTAATTTTGACAGAGGGGGATGTTCAAGGATTTCTAAATCCGAAATATTTTTTGAAAGTTGTTAAAGTAACAAATGGTCTAATAGGTGAGTCCATTGTAATATATTACTAAATGCTGCTTAAAGAAAAATCACAGACCAAACTCATATATGATGTGGCTCCATAAAAAAAACCGTTGTTTGTATTTAAATGAAGTCATTAGTGACAACAGATAGTTAATAAACTCTCATCTAATTATTGGTAAACACTAAGAGTTAGATAACCTTTTTTGTAGTAAATAAAGATATCACATTGACTTCTTAATCATTGTAACATCCCTTTTATTCTAATTTTAGATAGTTCACTATCAAATTATTAAATTAGCATATGTTCTGTTCTTTTGTAAAAAGCATATAATGAATACCTTACCTATCCTACACAAGGCATCACCTTATTGCGAATTAAAGGATTTGATTTTGTGAGCATCACTATTCTTAAGAAAGAAGTTCGGCAATCATTGTACAACAAATACACAGACTGGGATAGCCTTCGGGAAATAGTTAATACAGAGCTAAACCTAAAAATAGCACTTAAAACAGAAGAGGATATCAAAGAAGCCACAAAGCACAGTTCAAGCTGCCTGCTGGAAAACCTCTCCAGAGCACTTGAATCCCAGGCCACGGAAATAAAAGAACTGATTCTGAACAAAAGAAGACTGCAAACAGTATGGCACACTAGCAGGCTTTCAGTAGATAAAAAAGCTCTTAACAAAGCAGTCAAGGATCTTAAACTTGCCATAAAAAATGCAAGGGACAAAACTATGGAATGTTATCTACATTCCTTAACTGCAACAAATGCTACAAACTACTCTCTATGGCGAGCTTGTAAGAACTATAATAGACCGATAGATCCCAAACCGCCGTTACGGTTGCAGAATAACACTAGGGCAAGGACAAGACAAGAAAAAGCTGATGCCCTGCTGTTCAATTAGCAAAAGTATTCACGCCTAATGAAGCTGACCCAGACACTGATGATTCCTTCATAGATTCGGTCCAAAGTCATGACTTCCAGCTCGATTTGCCGATAAGGTGTACAACTCCGAAAGAAGGCGAGGCAACAATCCCAAAATTGGAGGACAAAAAGGCTCCCGGGATTGATTTAATAGACAAAAAAGTCTGAAAAAAGCCATAGTTTTTCTAACCATCTTATTTAATGGCATAATAAGAACTGGACACTTTCCATCGCTGTGGAGTTTCACAAGTAATTATGATATCTAAAGTAGGGAAGCCAGTGAACGAACTTAGCTCATACAGGCCGATTATTCTACTAACCGTAACGTCAAAACGCACAGAATATTGGAGGAGATTCATCAAAGAGACATAATCCCGGACCACCAGTTTGGTTTTCGCCAGCAGCATGGCACTGTGGAACAAGTCCATAGAATCTGCTCTGTAATAAGGAAGGCACTAGAGAAAGGAGTACTGCTCCTCTGCCTTCCTAGACGTGCAGCAGGCGTTTGATAGAGTATGGCACAAAGGTCTCATGTATACAGTAAAAACTCTTCTACCCTGTACATTCTTCCCCATCATAAAATCTTATCGAACATAAAGAATATTTCAAATAAGAGAAGAGTGTATATCGCCATTTCACTCAATCAAAGCTGGTGTACCACAGGGGTCTGTCCTGGAACCAGTCTTATACACCAGTTACACATGTGATTTACCACAAAGCGAACACGTTACATTAGCAACATTCCCGGACCGTTGACTGGCATATAGTAATAGCCCAATCGAAGCTTCAGACTTCCTAGAGACTGGATTGCAAGAAATTGAAACGTGGCTTTCAAAGTGGAGAATAAAAGCTAAGTAAGTGTGACAAAATCTGTTTATGTAACCTTCACTCTCCGTAGAGGAGACTGTTCGCCAGTAACTCTGTGCAATTAACAACTCTCGCAAGAAAACTGTGTAAAATACTTGGGAATACACCTTGATAGGAGACTCGTATGGAAACAACACATACAGAAGAAGAGAGAAGAAATCAACTCGAAATACAGAGGACTCTACTGGCTGCTTGGCAGAAATTCCAAGCTGTCGGTAGATAATAAGCTACTCATCTACGAAATGCTCTTGAAACCAATTTGGATTCAACTATGGGGTTCTAATATAGTAATAGAAAGTAAACATCCCGAATGTTTATAAAAACATCGGAGATTCGTGAGCACCTCAAAATCAGGACTGTTAAAGAGGAGATCAAGACCTGGAGTATGAAATACAGAAAAAGGCTAGAAATGCATCCTAATAAGCTTGCGACGCAACTAACCATAACGGACCTAATAAATAGGCTTAGACTTAGGTCTTGATAGACACGGTTGACAGAGTGGAGCAGTCTCGATGGAGATTTTGCTCTGAACGCCTAACAGCTCTCAACACATCTGCTCATAGTCTAGCTGACTGATTGCAAGATAAAGACTTATATAAAAAAAAGTTTAATTATGTCTCAATAAAATAAAGGACATGGTTCATTAGTCTTCTCGAAGTGCGCTCATATGGCAGCCAAATATCTATTTATGCGCAGCTTATTTCAAATGGGTCAAAACTATTTCATCATTTATATTTGGTCAATTCCCAGTTCTTCAGTTATGTTGTAACAATATTCAGCAACTAATTTGTTATTTAAACAGGTGCTCAACTGTTGCCATAAAAAATGTCAGCGGAACAGCCCCAAGGATCTTCACCAAGACGTCGTGCACCTAATAAGCATGAACAGTCAGCAGAGGGTAGTCCTAAAGGTCATCTAAAAGTACATGTTTCTGGTATGTATTTAAGATTAAGTTTGACATATCGTCCCCGTAGAGCGAAAATTCATTAAGTCCAAAAAATCTGTTTCGAGATAATGAGGGTTAAAGTTTTGAAATATAATAAATTGCCATAACTTTAGCATGTCATGATATATTATATTTTTTCGTTTCATTTTAAAGGAAATCAAATTAAGTTAAAATGATGCTAGCTACCCCAAGTATGATTAGGTTATTACTGAGAAAACCTAAAAAAAAAAACAATTAGTTATTTGTTTGCTGTAGAATATCCGATGTAGTTATGAATTAGTTAATATTCGCCCCTAGTTAGTGATTTTTCACTCAGATCGAGTTTATTTTTATAATAAATATCTTGAGTTGGGTAATTTACGACTAACTGGTAAATATCCAAAATATACATAATGAAAAAAACTTTTTTTTAAACTTAAGAGTTAAAAGGCATTTTGTTTTATAATAGTATAAAATCAAACTACTTTTATATAAATAAAACTTCTACACTCCCTATGGATTAAAAAATTAAAAATAAAGTAATTAACTTATTTATTTTTATAAGCTATGTAAGTTTTTGATAAATAAAAAATAGTTAACATGATTTAGTTATTTCTCTTATTTTCTATTAGGACCAAAGAATAGATTTATTTAATTTTCACTTTTTGTAAATCGGAAACTAGGATACCTACAAAATTGACTTTTAGACAGTTAAATAAAGAAAAAAAATATAGTTTTAATGGCATAGATAACTCGTTTTGGCAATTTTTTGACTTAATTAGTTTTCGCTCTACGGGGATGATATTTTGTATTTGTCTAGGACAGGAAATATTAAGTTTAATTTTTTAAATTCAAAGTGTGTTGACTCTTTATTTACAAGTTTAACATATTTTTATTAACAATTAAATATACAATAATGTTGCAATAATATTAAGTCATTACTAGTTGTTTAGTTTCGGTAGCCTTATTTGCTTTCATCTACAAATATTCAAGCAATCTGGAGTATCCATTCTGGAGCTAATCAAAGCGCATAGTATACTCAAACACTTATGAATATTTAAAAAAAAGTTAAACTAATTGTAAATTTACATTTACTACCACTTCGCAAGTCAAGGGCGTAGAGCGGGCAAGAAAGTGTTCGCCTTTTAATCGCTAAGTTTTGAGTCATACAAATTGTTTGAACTGGAGCAAATCAAACCCAAAGATTAGGATCATTTTAGTATATTCATTGTAGAACATAAAGAGTAAAAGGGTGTTATTGTCATTTCAAGTTTTTTAACTTTCAGGGTTTCCTCCTTACACAAGAGTGGAAGACTTGAAATATGTATTTGCTACATATGGTCACGTCAAAGTTAAATTATTTAAGAAGTATGCCATTCTTACTTTGCCCGATGAAGATAGCGTTCTCGATGCAATTGCACACTCTAAGAAGATTTCCGTGTATGGCTCGTTTCTGACAATAAAGCTTGACAAGGGGGAACCCACCCCGACCAAAAAATTAGACAGATTTGTGCGAAGTAAGGAAAAGAGTGAGTATGCATAGTGATTGTTCGAAGGTCCTCTATCTTAATTAATTGTTGCGGCCTTTGCTGTTGTGCATTTTAAGCGACTAATAATAACTACTTATTAAGAAGCTTAATGCCTTAATAAGTAGGTTGGTTTTATTTAAATTACGAAATAAAATAACTATCAAAGTTATGACACTACATTCTCAACCATTCAATACCGTGAAAATAAATAAATTCTTAGATGTCATAAAATAAGTGAATATTCGTACTTTTCCAGGTGTAATAATAGAGCCCGGGAAGATTGGGCTGAAGGGTGACTTCGAGCATCAGTTGGAGCAGGTGTTAGACGCCGTCAGACTCACGCGAGACGAGGTCGTCAACATCTCTGCGCTCTACGTGGACCTCGAGAACGCCCTGCGCACTGTTTGGCCAGGTGAGACAAATCTCTCTTTCTCTCGTTCGTGAGCTACGCGATGAGCACGAAGCGTGGGAAGTAACGGAGTCCTATCGCGCAGACTGCTGTGCCGTCCCGTTCGGGTCCATCACGACGGGGCTGGGCATCAAGAGCAGCGACGCGGACTGCTTCGTGCGGCTGCCGGCGCGGCTGCGAGGCAACGACGCCGCCCACGTCATGCGCACCAAGCGGCTGCTCCAGCTCTACCCCGACGTGTTCGCCGAGGTCTTCGCCATCCCCAACGCGCACACGCCCATCGTGAAGTTCTTCCACGTGCCCACGGAGACCACCTGCGACGTGTCCTTCAAGACCCCGCTGGGCTCGCAGAACAGCCGCCTGGTGGCCTTCCTGCTGCATTCGGACGCTCGTCTGCTGCCGCTCGCCGTCGTCATCAAGTACTGGGCCAAGGTGCACGAGCTGTCGGGCACCGGCAAGGTGACCAACTACGCGCTGACGATGCTCCTCGTCTTCTTCCTGCAGCTGCTGGGAATCCTGCCCTCCGTCGAGAGCCTGCAGCGGGGTCGCGAGGATCTGGTGGACGGCTGGAACACGGCTTTCGCGACCGACCCGCCGGCGCCCTTTCCCGGCTTTGCCTCCATCGAGGATCTCCTCGGAGGGTTCTTCAAGTTCTACGCCGCCTTCGACTTCAACAAGTTCGTCGTCTGCCCGTTCCTCGGGCGAGAGATCGAGAAGGCCGCCTTCGCGAATCTCGCCTCCCTGCCCGACGCCTTCGACCGGTACAAGCGGAACGTCGAGAGCGGAGCGGCCCATCCGATCAAGTTTTCGACCCCCGTTTGCATACAGGACCCCTTCCAGCTGTGTCACAACGTGGGCAGCTCCATCGGCGGGAAGCTGTCCGACGAGCTGCCGCAGTATATCAAGTTCGCGGCGACGACCTTTCGGGAGTCCAGAGCCGAATTTCTCGAGACGATTCTGTTAAAGAAACCGAAGATCGCGGTGCCCGACAAGAACAAGATCAGAGCCGTCGTGCACTCCAAGGACTTGGACCGGGTGGTCGGCGACGAGTGGAAAGCTATTATCAAAAACGTGATACGTATCCTCTTCGAAGACATCTGCCGCTCGACGCTCGTCGTCCTGGAGACGGAGGAGAGACCCGGGGCGACGAGACAGATAGAGCGCTACGCCGTCACTCTGACGAAAGCCGTCTGGGACAGGAAGAGATTGACCAAACTGTACAAACACGCGGGGGGCACTTTCCTAGAGAAGCAGATGAACATTTCGCAAGAGATAATGGACACCTGCGAGAAAACGCCGCACTTGAAGATACGCCTGGTCGTCAGCTTCCCTCAACATTCCCGAGCCACGTCGGTGTACATCGAGTTCGTCGACGGCGACAAGGCCGATTTCCAACAGTTCGGAAAGATGTTCCGGCTCATGATCAAGGGTTGGTTCTTCGAGTTGATGAAACCTTTTTTGCCGCCCGCCCCCGAGAACAAGCGTCCCAGAACGCAAAGAGAAGTTGTGGGAAACAATATCGACAGAAGTGACTCGATCGAATCTGACGATTTATCGGATAGATTCCAAGATAACTGTTCAGTGAGTGATGCTTCTAAATGACTAAAGGATGTGTGAACTTAATTTGAAAATTGAATTATTTTTTAATTGTTTGTAAAGCCCACTCTTAATAAAGTCTCCTGGACCTGTCGCGTGACATCGCGACGTGAAATTGTTGATTGTTGAATGTTGTTGTGTCGGCGCTAGAGATGTCTACTGACCTAAGTATTCCGTTGTAATTATTTTGAAAAACTTTAAGCTGTGAGGCCCGTGAACTTGAAGATCAAAGACTTAGGGGTTCAGTAGAGATCTCTTTACGGTACTGTATGTAGAAAGCCGAAAACTAAATTTGTATCTTATTTGTCGACACGAACTGTCATTTTCATACAAATAAATCGACTTTCTACATAAGTAATAAATAATAATTCATGTCTTAATTAAAATTGAACATTTGACATGATCATACTAGAGTAGAGAGTATATTATAGTTCTTTGACGCCAATCTTTAAATTGATTCAAAATTTAAAGGTTTTGAAGAGTAATTAAAAACAAATTGTTGTAATGTGTAGTTTAATGACGAAGCTTAGAGTTCTTCGTCAGAATTAGAAATTGTCTATGAATTTCAATGTTTAAATTATCATCACTAAGCTTTTGACATGCCGGATACTGGAATTTTTAGAATAAGCTTGAATTAGAAGATATAAAAATTGTAAAATAGAAAGATAGCTGTGGCGACGAGTCGTGCGATCTCGTAAGTACATTTTAGTCTTTACTAGACGTTTGACCTAGGAGTTTTTATTCATGGGAAAATTTATTATTAATGTATGTTAATGGTTTATCGTAAATATTAAAATATTTTTTTTAATAATAATCTTTTATTAAAGGACCGGTCGTCTTAAAACCTATATGCTAGGTGAGTGCTTACAGATTAATAGAAATTATTCAATTTAGCCAAATACAGCGTTAACTCGTTATAACGAATTTCAATGGACCGAGCATTTTTCTTCGTTTTAGAGTCAATCAAATCAAATCAAATCAAAATACGTTTATTCAATTTAGATGCTTCTTAGAGCATGCTTATGAATGTCAACAACGTTAACAAAATTCACGAAAGAGCAAGACTACGCCATCCGTTCGCAAAACTACCAGGAGGCCTTGTTCTGAGAAGAACGGGCAAGAAACTCAGCAAGTTTGCCCTCCCTTTACATTACAATTATTCAAAGGAAAATGTCATAAACCACAACGTCATTAAAATTACATAAGTAAAAAAAAATAAAAAATCTGTTCTGTGATTTACCACATTCACCATTACACACATATTCATAACACTTCAAAGATAACAAATCAAATTATAAGAATATAATTAGAACTATTGCCAAGCGTTTTTATCTTCCAAGTAGTCATTGACTGTGTAGTAACCTTTACACATTAAGGTTTTTTTGATGTGTGTTTTGAATCTGTTTAAAGGCAGTTCCAATATTTCACTAGGAATCTTGTTATAGCAGCGTATACTTAGGCCCATAAATGAAGTATTTATTTTCTGCAACCTGTAAGACGGCTGGAAAAGTTTTCCCTTATTTCTTGTATTCCTATTGTGAATGTCGCTGTTCTTTAAAAGAGAACTAATATTACTACGCACAAAAACGATACAGTTGTAAATATATTGGGAAGGTACCGTCAAAATATCGATTTCCTTGAACAAATTTCTAAGTGAAGTGCCTGGTTTCAAGCAATAAATTGACCTAATAGCACGTTTTTGCAAGATAAAGCAGAGTGTTTTCGTTATCAAAAATTTACACTGTATATATATACAAGCGGCTTTTTGCGTAGGTTTATCTTTAATTAATTTGCAATTATAAATTAAATAGTTTTGTTTGGAAGCTGAAAATTTGTGTGTCCTAGATACCGCACTCGCCCTTATATTCGCTTCCCTTAGAAAACTAATTTCACCAACTAAATGGTTTAATGAGATTTAAGCTGGGTATCGATTACGCGCTCCTGGCGCGCGCGCCATGATTGACCGCTCCGAGAGTGCGTTCCGTGAAACGCGTTCCAAATATTTGAAGTATATCAACTAAGCGCGCCTGGCAACTGTTCCAGTGTTCGACCCTTCATCATGGAAGCCAGTCGTGTACGAGCAGCAGTAGCTTTTGTAATTATTCACAGTATTATAAACAAGAAAAAGCAGAAACAAAAAGTGCGTTGGTGGATAAAAGAGCTGTACCGAAAAAGAATGCAGTATGGAGTGACACTTATAAGAGATATGCAGTTCGAAGTGGTAGAAGACACAATAAAAAACTTTTGTACCATACAGTTGTAATAATTTACGGCAACTTTGTTTATCCATAATTGGGAGCGTAACAAGCACAAAAAATTACGATATGTCCGTCCCAACTGGCGCGCGCGCCACACGACTGATGCGTGGTAAAAAACCGACACCCGTCGGAACGCGTTCCAAAGTGGTATCCATTGCGCGCGGCTGGAGCGCGCGCCAATGTTCGCCCTCTTGGAGCGCGTAGTCGATACGAGGCTTAAGACACACAAACGAGACTAGCGCTAAGTGTGACTATTTCAAAAAAATATTTTAACAGGCGGGAGTAGTTCTAAATTGCTCAAGCTTTGTACTCTTTAGGTGTATTGATCTAGTCGTATCACGAAGGTGGGTCGCTTCAACATTCACATGATATTTTTTTCACCTTATTTGGTTTTCACGTAAAGGTCCTTGTCAATACTTTACGGTTTTAGCCATTTTGATGCTATCCTGTAACACAAAGTCCGGTATTTTTTTTAGAAACTTTGCTATACAGCCCTAAAAGGATATCCACTAGCAAACAATATTGTGTTACGCAATCACTCCTAAACTACTGCACCGATTTAAATGAAATATTGTACCAAGATAAACTCCACCCTTGCTCCTGTCCCCTCCCGCGACACTCCTTGCTTTATTCATATTGTGTACCCAATATCTTTTTCTTCGATATTTTCTATTTCGTCTTCATCAAGTGCTATGGCTATGATAGCCATTTCACGTATTGTATGTAAACCGGGACATAACCGTGCGCTACACTACACGGACGGCAAGCCGTAAGCGCGGCGTTGCCTAGCCGTAGCCGAGTTGACGTACAGCAGCTGCTGATACGCTTTGGTTACGTGCATACGTTAGCTTGACGGCGATACGGTGACGATCCCTTTCCGAGTTGATATGTGTGCTGTGACCTTTAAGCTTATTTTTTAGGCTTTTATATGCGTTCGAGACAGAAATTAAAAATATAGAAGAAAACATAGAGAATAACGGAGTTATCTCCAAAGGTGAAACTGAAATAAGGGCATGTAAAAAACATGCCAAATTATGCGCGCCATGCCGGGGGGCGTAGCCTATTCGAACGGGCAGACACGTAAGAGCAGACGAGTGTGTAAATAGTTAAATGTTTCTACTTTGTTCATTTGTTTTGGATCGTGTACGTTAGGAAGATTTTTTAATAATAAAGTTTTTCCAAACGCTTACTTGTGGAACGACGGACGGACGTCGAGGTGATACGGGTGGAATTTCGTATTCTGCCTCGACGTCCGATGAAGGAACTCTGCTGATATTTTCCTATACAATTCTGTTGATTAATAATAAGCAATATAATAAATTTTGAACAAGGGTTAGATTATGTTATCGTGACAATTTCCTGCGCGTTCATACAGGCAGATAGAATGTACTCAACTTTAGGTTTACCCGTAAAATGCTGTTAAATTTTTATCGACATTGTCGAGTATCACTAAACTGAAAATGTCAAAGGGCATAATTTTTTCTGGCTATTGTTATAGTTTATAAAAATATAACTCCAAATAATATTTAATTCAAATTTATAATGTTATAGCTTATAATTTCTAAATTACATAACATAAAAAACTTAAAAACATATGAACATAAAAGCGCATTAGAACTAGTATAAATTTAGAGAAAGATACCTGCGAATACACTTGCCTTAAGAAAAGGCGAAACCCTATTGCCATTGTCTAATAATTCAGACATAATTATTTTCTCTAATTATAATTTTTTGTAACTGTTGGAAATTAAAGATTGTTTTTGTCGCCCGTATGTTGCCGTTGTCTTGCTTCCCCACTAGATTTATTTCCATATGGATTCAAGAGATTCGGAAGAAAGTAATCGTCAGATTCATGTTCATAAATTGACGCGGCATTCTTCATAAGCTGAACGATTAACTCGGCCGTTTGACGTTTCACAGTAACACCCGCGTTTCGCGCGTGATTGAAAGGGTCCTGAATACAGAAAGAAGAATCTAAAACAAGGCCCGGTAGATTATGTTCCATAACATTTACCCAATAAATCTCGTAGACCGACGAAATATCCTGGACGTTGGTGAAACATTTTCTCCTTATTAAATCACCCGTATATAATGAAATTATATTATTTTCGAAATCTAAAGTCGAATAGAAACGAAAAAAATCACCTAATAAATTGTATACACTTTTCTGATTATCGTTCAGATTGACGACACGAGCAAATTCCGTATTCCAATAGTCTGTTTCTACCATCTCGACATTTAGTTGCAGACACTCTATTGTTGGTAATATACGTTCTTTTTGTAAAAAGAATACTACCAGCAATATAAGACAGTAATTAGACATAAGACGTCTACCCGTGATTTTCTTGATTTTAGCCCAATATTTGACTATAAACATCAGAGGTCGGATACGCTCATCACTGGATATCAAGTATTGGAGTAAAAGTGAATTTTTCAATGCCCCTCGACCAGAGAAAGTAACATCGCAGCATATTTTGGTTTTCCTGTGCTTAAAATTGACTTTAGGAATCTTTGTTTTAGTGAATACATTTATGTTAACAAATTTTTCATTTTTAAGAAGAGCTTTTTGAGTACGTAATACGAGTTGCACGGCATCCTCGCTGACATCCCGCGGTATATTCACGAAGCAGTCTATGTCGCTGTTTTTCAGGGCTAGACCGGTTAAACTCGATCCAAATTCCTCCATCTGAGATCCTGTTATCGGAAGGATTAAATGTTATTACTTTAGATAGATATCTAGAAAAATCAGAGTAAACATTTGAAATCTCTACTTAAAAATATGAATTAATCATTTATGTGATTAAGTGGTAGCAGCTTTAGTACCTAGGAGTATAAACAACAATAAACTACAGGTACAGATAAATGTGAATTAGTGTTAGTTGGTTTTTGGAAAAGATTTAAGTGAAGTGCCGCAAAAAGGAGTTGCTACCACTATTGTGACTTTAATTATTAATTCATACCTATTAGGTTTTTACGAAACACTATTTCTTTATTCCTAAGACTTAAGATTATATATAACGCGCGCGTATTAGGGATCGGGATCTGCGAGTGGACAAATTAAACAATTTCGTACACTAGCGACGAATCGACTAAAAGGTCAAAAGGTAAACTGTAGGGCAGGGCCCGCACGGGTTATTTTGCCTACTATAACGATATTTCCCTTCTTTCGCTCTATTCGCACATAACGGCGTCATCTGTAGTAAAAATAGTCAATGGGAACTATCCATTATATTTTTACATGGTGCATACAATCTTTTGTAAAAACAATTAAACATTGTGACCAAAGCTTAACAGATTTGATTCAAATTTTGAGCCCTAAAATAATTACCTACCATGGCAACGGGATTTACTACGCTACATATATTAGAGTATGATGTATAACGCAGATTTCATGAATTGGGATTCTAGGTTAATAAAATAAATCAGTTCGAAATTATCACAAGATTACTTTGTCTACTTTAGGTATTGTTAAAATGATTTTTACAACTTCTATAAAATATGTCTTGTGACTTAAAGCTAGTTCATTGGTAAATGTAGCAGTATTCATGTAACTACATATTTACCTTCACATATGCTTGCAAGTACAGAATTCAAGTCGTACATGACTTTTTTTCGGTTTTTGCATTCTTCATCGGATATTTTTATATAATTTATTACTTCTTTCATCTGTGTATTAAAATCACCAGCAAAGCTGAGACAAGAAGGGTTGATGAGCTCTGAAACTCAAATATTCGTTAAGCGTAAAACTATTTTTATCTTTATATATATATATATATATATATATATATTATGTTTATATCTAGGACCTAAATATTTGACAAGAATATCTGTTCTACAAAAAATTAAACAATCTTTTCTAATAGTGGACGTAAGCAGATATTACACTTTCCCAAGTAAATCGTAATAATCTAAATTGTAAAATAATTACTCACCCATTTATTTCTATTTTATATGAATTAAAACTCAACTACGTAGTTCGTAAGTCGTAACTTCGTATCACGCATATCATATAGTAGAAGATTCAAGATAATAATAATACCTATGTCAACCAGTGATGCCAACTCCTACAGATTCTTCCCCCTAGGACCAACTTCAAATACCCTTAAATATCGATTAACATAAAGCTTTTGTTACACTCGGTTAGAAAAGTAATTTCAAATATGCAAGAGAAATACATTCAAGTAGTATTCAATTTCAATCTTGAAGTAAGTATTATAAGTTATAACTTTTTGATATCACAGTCATACCCACTCTTGTAGTTTATATTTGGTTTAGTTTGTTGCTTGCGTTCTAAGCTTAATATGAATTGTAAGGATCAAATACGAAAATACACTGTTTTTTCTAAAAATTATAAAAGAAATTAAAAAGTACCCTCAACAAAGATATCGGTTTAACAAAGTCGGCAAAAATGTACATATTTTTCCAACAAACATAAAATATATATTTCTCCCATAAATATAGGAAAAACAAAAAAGCTAGCAAGCTTATGAGATCATTAAAAACATTTTGAAGACTTATGAAATTGGACATACCCGTCCATAGACAATCACTTATTATCAAAGAGTATAACAATATAATCGCTGCTTATTATTTTGTTTTATAATATTTTTTGTTAGTTTTATATTAATTTTTTGTAGAAATGTGGCCATGTTAATAATAAAATAATTATGTATAGTTTTAGCTATAGAAAAAGCGGTAACGTCTATACTCTATGTTACGGCGTCTTGACTCAGCCTCCTTATATGCTTGATATTTCCATATTTATATGTATCTATTAAGTTATCCTCGCATTCATTCCGTTCAAAATTGTTTAATTGAAAACATAAACTTACTTGCTTTTTAATTTTGCAGATTAGTTGATGTGAGATGATATTTATATTTTATAGGATATTGATATTTTTTGGTACTACTAATAATTGTATATCACGATTATGCAGGTTCAAAATATTTTATTGAATTACCTTAAATTTCTGAGAAAACTTGAAACAAACCATAATTAATTTCAATATGCAAATAAAACTAATATATTATCTAGAAAACTTATAATAAAACTTTTAGGTTGCGATCCGGCTAGACCTCCACGGTGAGGTTTTTGCTCGCTCGCCCCTATTCTAAGAAAAATAAACCCAAGAATGCCCAAGTTATTTAGTCTGTCTTAAGAGATTTATATTGGATTAATATTCCTTAGTCTATAGCAGATTAAAGGTCAGTCTGTGAAGTCCCTACTAAAGCTATAGTGAACGCCAGAAGTATTCTATATCTATAGGTATAGTTGTATATCTGTATCCGTGGTAGAGGTTCATAAAAAAAAACTAAAATGTAGAGGAGGTATTTTCGCTATCACTCTCTTCTCTCTCTATCGAGTCTTGCATCCAGGGCTTGAGTCAAAATCTCTGTCCGACAAGCGTGACCACCAAACGAATTTACATATTATATGAAAAAGGTCACGTGACAAAGCGTGAGCTAATCTCATTCTGATACAAATTGGTTTAGCGTTGGCTGGTTAGTGGTTACGCCTGTCGAATTTCGAAACATGACTTTGACTACTCTCCCCAGGCTAATTATTTAAGGACTTACAAAATACAAACCAGTAACCACAAATATTAATTTTAGAAGTACCTAACACACCAATCATCAATATTTTTGTGAGATTATTATAATTTTAACTTCATATTCCAAATCCAGCTTATTTCACATAGTAAAAATAATTATTTGAAAAAGTTTAATAGAAAATTTGTATTCATGTGAATCGTTTGAAACTTGAGAACAAGTACAGTTATTGAGACTAAAAATACAATGAGTTATTATACAGGTAAGAGTGCAGTCCAGTTCGGGACACCATTGTTAGTTCTGTAAGAAGAAAGTTGCGAATCCATAGCAAATTGTTCAAGGAGTCTCAATTTAGCAACATTCATCTACAGCTTATTTTTTATTGTCCTTTTTTTAGATATCTTAGATACTACAAATGTAAGTTTTGATGGAGATTTTCATACACAAATAAAAAATTTAATGGATTACATTCGAATGAGTCGAGATGAAGTGGAAAGATTACAATTATTATTTAATGATTTACAAGACATATTTGGAAATACTTGGAAAGGTACATTTGATTACTTACTGGTACTTATTTACTTTTTTTTTACCTGAGCTGTAGTAGTTACAGATTTTGATATTATAATATTTATATACTTAAGCCAATCTTCTAACTTATCAAACTTAAACTCAAAATAACTTTATTCATATAGGTAAACAAGTACACTTATGAACATCAGAAAAGAATTTAAATTAATTGTAAATTTACATTTTCTACCAGTTTGCAAGTCAAGGGCGTAGAGTGGGCAAGAAGAACTGGCAAGAAACTTTCTGCCACTCTTTTTAATCGCTAAGTTTTGAGTCATACAAATTGTTGGAACTGGAGCAAATCAATCCCAAGGATTAGGATCTTTTAAATATTCGTCAAATTTATAAAAAGCTTTATTGATTCATTTTCGTTTAAATAGGGCTTTGAATTTATTTAGTGATAATTCTCTAATTTTGCTTGAGAGTGTTGTAAAAACGTTACCATTTGTTTTAAAATCGTTTATATTTTTTTGTACCTACAACAAGCTTCAAGAATATATTGACCAGATAGTGTCATAATATTTAATTCCTTAAACTTGTTCTGTACCGACTCCTTTGGGGAAACACAACAAATACCCCAAACAGCCCGCGGCTGCAAGCACAAATATGGATTGAGCCTCTGCAGCAGCACCCCACAGTAGAATACCAATTTAATAAACCTAATTGTTCTATTTGCTTTTAAAATCTATGTAATGAAACAATGCCAATATTAAATTAACACTTCATTATTCTTTATTATAGGTTCCAAGTTAGAGGTGTTCGGATCAATTGTAACAGGTCTAGCACTTCGAAGCAGTGATGTTGATTGTTTAGTTAATCTTCCACCATGGTTGGATATGCCAAGGGCAGACTTTGTAATAGAAGCTCGGAAGATATTACAAAGAAATCGTAAATTTCAAAACGTATTTGCAATAACAAAAGCTAAGGTTCCCATAGTGCAATTTACTTATGTTCCAACAAATACTCACTGTGATGTGAGTTTTTCTACCCGTGCTGCAGTCAAGAATTCCAAACTTCTGGAATATTTGATATTCAGTGATGAACGTATACTTACCCTTATGGTTCTTGTCAAGTATTGGTCAAAGATTCAATGCTTCACGGGTATGAACTTAATGTCAAGTTACAGCCTTACTTTACTTTTCTTATTTTACTTACAACAAAAGAATATTTTACCCTCAATAAGAATTTTGCAGCAAAATGTTACAGAAGATATTGAAGATAACTGGAACACAGCATTTTCACTCTCTGTAAGTAAATCCAGTAACAACGATAGCTTGTATACATTGTTTGGTGGATTTTTGAAATACTATGAGAATTTTAATTTTAAAAAGTATGTTATATCTCTGTATACCGGAACTTTAATTGATAGAGAGAAATTTAAGAGTTTGGAAACTCTACCAGAAGAGTTTGAATTATATAAAATAAATGTTACCAGAAATATTTGTCAACCATTGAGGATTGATACAATGATGTGTATTCAAGACCCATTCAACCATAGCCGCAATTGCGGTGTTTCTGTTCATCCCAAGTTGGCTCTTAGAATTATTCATCTTTTTAGTAATGCAGTCAAGATTTATGAATCGGAAACTGAAGCAATATTTTTAAAAAAACTACTCAGCACTAATGAAAAACCGCAAACTGCATTTAGGCCCACATTCAGGAACTTTGTAGCTAAAAAGGGCAGCATCCAGAAGCACCAGTGGAACCGTGGCCAGTTGAAACAAAAGGGAAGAAAATTCAAGCAACAATTTAAACATAATAGAAATCAGAGATAACCTTTACGGTTTATTGATGTAAGTATATTAATTAAATAATCGGGGTCATCTTTATGAATTTGTGTTGATGGTACGGGATGCTGACGAAACGTTTGAGCAAGTGTTTCAAATAAATGTTTTCTACATTGGTTTTGTTACCAAGCACGTATTAGGATGTAGTCAAATAAAAACAAGCACATACTTTTGATCTCATTTTGTAGAACTTTGTTTGACTAACCATAATTGATCAATTACTTTTCCCTCAATGTCAACGGATACCTGTAATATAAAATTGAATCTTAATTAAATGAAGTAGCTATTAACCATCCTGTTCCTAATCGTATGTCCTATGATCCCCAGATTATGAAAATCAAAAGTGAAAATATAGATTTAAAAAAACTTATTCGAGTATACATCCCTGTATACTGTATAACTATGAGTATAACCATTTGCTAAATAATAATATATAAAAGGGGTTTAAACATTTCCATTTTGAAACTGCTCAATATGGACAGACTCACCTGCTCAAAATAGATATGAGTGTTGTTGAAAGCCTTGAGTTTGGTGTAGCCGTAGTCTTGAGAGCGAAACGCGGACCATTCCTTCGGGGCGTCTGTCACGAACAGTGAATCATTGAGTCTTCAACGGATACTTTATATTAAATATATTTTTACAAAGAGAAATGCCTTAAGCGTGCTTGTGGTACGAGACCGTAACGTGACCTTGGGCGGTGCCGTTTTAAAATAACTCCTAACAGCCCTTTAATTTAATTATAGTATAATATTAAATGTAGTGGAGAGGCACTATAAGAATTAAATGCGTCAAGTTCAACTTACGCTGAAAATGGTCCCTTCCTTCCTGACATCCCGCCGAGCCCGTCACCAAGTGCACTGGCGCTCTACGCAAAGTTAACGATTATTTTATTTTTTTGTACTTTATAAGACAATTTAAAAGTCAAATTCTGCCGGAACTAAATTTTGAGATTTTAAAAGCACTCAATACTAGATCGGGCACTTCAGTTTTCCCAAAGAAATAACAGGCAATTCTATAAAAATCTTTTATTAAATATTTTTACAGTCAGTATCACAAATTCTTTGGAAAAATGTAACTTTGGTCGGTTTCGCTAGAAGCACTCGTGTAAGCTATGAATCGAAGTGATAAGCTTCATGTTTGTCCTTCACTATCCACACGGAGTCTATCACGCGACCGTCTTCGTCCACGTCAACCTGAAAAAAAGTACTTTTTATTAACCGAGCCGGGGCCCGTGGACGAAACCGAATTGTTTCGAGTTAATAAGAGATCGATGAACGATGGGTAATATTAAGTGAGCGATACCTGTTCGAAATACACATGCGTGTGATTGTAGGCCTTGAAGCGCGTATATCCGTAGTCACTGGAGCGGAAGGCGGACCACGCCGGGGGACGAGCTGTAATGTCATTCGTGTACACGTACATTTCCGGCCCGAAGGACCGATAACGATCAATACATATATTAATTATCAAATCGAAGGTGAATCTTCGATTCTGGAATAAATAATATTTTGTAAAAAAGATAAAACCATATATAATATATATATATTAATATAGACCAGATTTCTTACGCTTAAAGCCGTCCGTGTCTTCCTGACAACCCGCCGAACCGGTTATTATGTGTACCGGTGCCCTGCAACAGGAAATATTAACTATAGAAAAGTTGCACGATGATTTTAAATTAACCGACAAATTAAAGGCAAAAGAATCCATGCGAAAAGCTGTAAATCGGCAACTTTATAGAATATCATTTATTTACCACGTCGATGCACATTCATCCTCCAGACCGGTTTACGCGACGATTTTTTTAATTTCAAATGAGAACCATTATTAGATAAGTTTCTAAGAAAAAATAATAAATATGAATTTACGGGAAATCGCCCGAAACCTGTTTTTAATATCGTATGTGCAAAATCTGTGTACGTGTCATTATTTCGTCGGCGACACAATAATTTTCGGCAACTACGGAAGAAATGAAACAGTCATCGCATTTTTAGTATGTCGGGACGTAAAAAGGCCGGCAACGCATCCACTAAAAATGGGTGTCTATGGGCTGCGAAGACTGCTCTTTTTGGTTGTCCCGCAAGCTCGTTTGCCCCCCTATTATATAAAAAAAAATATGTTTTTGGCTGTCCATTCCGTCGTTCGGTGGAATAAGATTTTTAGCCCAAACTAACTCACCGCGGGTTAACGTACGGTCGCTCCGACGAGCCGTTGTACACCTTGAGATCGTAGAGGGGCCAAGTGCGCTCGTACGAGTGCTCGTGGGCCCAGATCACCACGTCCACCCCGAAGTCACGCAACAGCGGTTCGAGACCTGAGGAAACACAATCATTTATTGTCTAATTCGAGAACTCACTCTCTCTCTCTCTCGCTCTCTTGAATCTCTTTTAAAATCGTCCGATAAATATATGGTATCGTACCACGGTACCGGATCGAATAATGAGAAAAGGCTCAAATATATATTCTAAGATTAGCAGCGATACGAAGAAAACACTCACGAAAGGCCCCGAAGAGCGGCAGCCCCTTCCTCGTGTACTCGACGCTGCAGTCGATGTCGTCCGAATTGCTGCAGTACATCGGTCTGTGGCCGAACAGAACGAGCCAAGGCCGCTTCGCCCTGCAAGGCACGTCGGCCCACTCACTCCGAGGGGAAGACCTCCCGATCGATCCGATATCCGACCATACGTATCTCAGGCGTTAAATTACCCAAAACCCGTTTGTAATTCCGATAATACGACAAATATAGGCTCCGAACCGGATTAATAATATTTTTATTATAAATATAATTTAGAGGCATAAAACTCTCAAACGAAACAGACTCACTCACCGAAGCCTAAAGCCGGCAAGCCGACGCGATTGGGCAGGAAGTTGTTCCAGCAATCGTCCGCAATATTGCTGCAAACCATGGGCCTGTGGCCGTATAGTATGATCCAGGGTCGTTCGCCCCTGTAAACCGGTCGCCGTTTTTAGTCAATGGGAGAAGTCTCGTCCGAATGAATAATTGTTAGAAGTTAGCACAAACAAGAGAAGTACTGAGCGCATCGGACGGACCGGAAAGGGAGAGGGAGGGGCAATCGTCACTTAGGAAACCTTTAATTGGTTACCGCCATCTCTAGTCCTACCAAAAAACGCATTATTGTATTGTCAGGCATTCTTATTTCCCAGGTGTCTTTTTTAACAATTATTGTATTTTCTAATACATAATTAATATCACTAAAGAAGGAAGGCAACTGCCTTTCCCCGACCTAAAGAAAGGATTCTGGAACATTCTTCCGAGTCGAGATATATATAGCCTTAGCGAAATTTACTTTGAAAGCGCGATTTAGACTGTAGGTAGGTACTTTAAAATTGTGTCTCCTCATCTATTAAACGACACGACAATTTAGAGTAAGAACGAGTCGATTCGAGAAAGCGTCAATAGAGATACGTATAGTTGAAGTCTCGGCCGAGTCGAAAGACTCACCGAACCCGAAGAAGGGTATCCCTTTGCGTTGGGGCACAGAGTTGTCACAGGCCCGCCTGGGGCTGCTGCAGTACATGGGCCGGTGACCCATCGCTATCACCCACGGGCGTAACGATCTGACAACAGGATAGTCAACTGTGTGCCTCAAGGCAAAGATATTTCTTTGTTAAAGGGGGGGCAACGGGCTCGAGGCTAACCGGATGTCAAGTGACGCTCACACTTTTAGGACTATTTTTGAACTCTTGCAGAAAGAGAATGAATTGGGAATCGTGTTGCCCTTTCAACACGACGTGACAGCATTTATTTCAAACAATCAATTAGTTAAGTGTCTTATTTATCATTTCATCGAGTGTTTAGTGACAAATAAATAAGTATGACATTTAAAAATAAAATAAAAAAACCTAGTGGCGCCGGTGTCTTTTTTAACAATTTCCGTGATCATTTGTTTCTCCTAATAGACATAGGGGAATCAGACTTCTGTGCCTGACACACGCCGTCGATGGATTTAAGGCATGCATGGTTTCCTGACGATTATTTTCCTCACCGTACGAGGGTGTGTGGTGTTGTGGACATAGCAAGAAAGTACATTGGCGGCGTTCGAACCTATGACCTCAGTGATGACGAAACTTATACTTAGGTATATAAGCAAATAGAAGGTCAAGGGTGTCCCATCGCTGTCCGGGTCTCGATACCTGTTCTCCGGCTTGTTGGCTTCGCTGAGATCCCTCTGCAGCCACTCGAACTGCTCCGAGAGCATCTTGAGACCGAACTCGAGGAAGTAGTAGTACTCGGTGGAGATGGAGACGAAGTGGACGGGACCCAGATCGAACGAGTAGAACATGCTCTCCCATCGCTCGTGGTTCGGCATCGAGAAACGGTTGCGGTAGTTGCTGAAGTTACTGAAATATCGGACATGATCTATGCCAATCGGTTCAGTACTCTTTTGGACACGGTTTAAGGTTTCTTAATTACTTTTATTCCCCAGTCAGCATTAATGTCATATAGAGCTTTCTTGAACTATTATTTTGTACAATAAAGACTGGTTCAACATATAAAAAATATAAACAGCGCCCAGCAGAGTTGAAAACGTATAATGCAGTTTCCTACGCATTATATATATTGCATGTTATAATAAAAATGTAGCACCACGGTAGCCATACTTTGAAGGTATGAACTTGAACTTCAATATTCGAGAAAGTAAAATTTAGAAGAGGAAGTACTCACTAAGCGGCCTCGTGGTTTCCAGGACAGGTCATGTAAGGCACGGAGGCCGCCAAGGGCTGGATCTGCCTCATGAACTCGTCCCCTACGAGGGCGTTGTCCGTGTCCATGTCATAGGCAAAGTCTCCCACGTGGAGGATCACGTCGAAGTGGCCCCGCTGCGCCTCGTCTTGCAGGTACGACAATGAATGTGCATTCTTATTCCCCATATCTCCGTAGATGGCAGCCCGTAACACCCACTTGTCCCCCTCTGGCGGTGTCTTGAAGGAGAACAACTCCGACCAGCCATATACAGACCCCGCATGGTATTCTGAAGCATAATTCCGGTACGAATATTAAGTGGATTTGTTAAAGGATTTTATTTTATTGTTTCGGTTCGACGTGCTAATCTTTAGAACTTTATTACTAATTTTTTAGATCTTCCGTGGCGTTAACTACGAAAAATTTATGCTGGATGTTCTATTAAAAATTCTCCAAAAAAGTGCGACAGCATACATCTAACTTTAACTCATCGTTAACTCCGTGAACTAATAGTGTAATAACTACTATGGTAATCTAATTGCTTCTAAAGTAATTCATAATTACCAATAATTGTTTTTAAATATGATATTTTCATGTAGTACGTAATTCATCACAAATATGTATTTAATTATTAATAACATTGCTGGCTACAATTTAATTTGAATGTTTTTGGAGAAAACATAGTGTATAAATAGCTCCGCAAGAAAACACTATGCATTCATTTGTGATGTGCAGAATGGGTCTCAACTTAATAAATAATAACTACCCTAACACAAGAATAGTAATTATAAAATATGTACATACTACATAAAATTGTTAAATGGAGATAAATGAGTAATATAATAAATCCCAAACATACCATATTTAGTATCAAACTTGAGATCTTGCAGAGTAACTCGATGTATCCACATATGTCGGTGCAGCTGACCACCATCTGTGAACCGGTGTCGAGTACCCACAGCCTCCAAATTCATCTCCCCCAAACCATATTGCACTCGAGACTCATGGGTGTTATTAAATGTTGTCCATGTGACTATTATGTCATTAGGTTTTGCTAAAATCCAAATAAAATGTCATTAGTTTAAAATTATTAAAATAACTGTATTTTACCCCACAAAGCCAATTTTCCATCCAACTAATAAAAAAAATTATAACAACAATAAATAAAATATTAATTTAAATTATGTTTTAATAAAAATTACACCAGGCAGGACTTTTCATAAACAAATAAAAATAGAAAGTAATAAGTTATCAAATGTCTAATATAAATTACAATTTGATTATTTAATATTATTGAAAACTGAACTAATATTATTAAAGCATTAATAGGAATCATAAGTAATACAGTTAATTTAAATAGTAGAAGTTTGATTTTATTTATCAAGTTCATTAACTTGTTTTTCCCCTTTTAATCTGTTTCTGTTTTAATACCAAGTTCAAAACATGTTTTTGTATTATTGTCCTCAATACACTGATTATGTTATCAGAAAACACATACACTTTTAACTAATAAAATAATCTATTTTATGAAGTGGTTTTGTCAGATATGAATTGTAATATTAATTTCCACTGGAAATTTTCCTCTTTTCCATTCAGGCTAAGTCTGGAAAAGAGGATAGAACCTTGAGGTTGTGTGTTCATTCCCAAGCTGTGAAATTACCAATGTATTCTTTGACTCGTGTCAGTCACAAAATTTACTAATTAATAGTCAATTAGTAAACAAAAATAAATATCAGAAACAGATGAAATCCAAGGCCAAACCCGTTAAGAGTTGTAGCACCACTGAGTTGTTAGTATTACAGGTCAAAAGGGGTTTTTTAAAATATATAAACTAGTACCATTGTTTTAAAAGACATCAACAATATATTTTATTATAATCTGTTCTTGTTCAGACATTATTATTACTTTTAATCTATATTATTGATTGAAAATTAAACTTAGTAAAAGTAAAAATAAACATATTTTGGACTAGTTTTATCTACATTAAAATACATATAATGAATTAATATTTTATACAATAACTAGCGGATCCGACAGACATTGTCCTGCTTGATATTTCAAGCGATTAGGATATAAAAGTATGAAAGTACCGACTACAGAGCCATCTATCGAGCTGATTTGTGAATCTAAACCACTCCCAGATCCCCTTGAACACACACAAAAATTTCATCAAAATCGGTCCAGTCGTTTGAGAGAAGTTCAGTGACATACACACTCACAGAAGAATTATATATATATATAAAGATTATAAATCCATATTTATAAAAAGAATTGAGGTGGTAAAATTAGGGAATGCCATTTAACGAACAAAGACCTAAACACTACATAAAAAATATACTTACTCCCGAAAGCTATGTGTACTTGTTCAGGCTGGCAATATTGACAATCATAACCGGGATTTGCCTTAATTAGGCTTGTTGTTACATTTATAACTAATAGTAACTGAATTAAAAACTTCATTGTTCTTTAATTTCCAAATACTGTTTACAAAAGACAGCCACTTCACAGCGCTATTGCACGACAACTATCAATTATCATTACAGTTTACATACTATCGATATAAATTATAGTGTATTTAGTATTATTTATGACAACTATCTGATAAAGAAATCAGATAATGTTATTTATAATTATAGTTTGATTATAGCTACGAATTCTTCTATCTATTCTATCTGCTTTTATTGAATTACAAAATTTACAATTATCAAAACCTTAATAACTGTAACACCTGGCTGACATCACAATTCACATTTCACATCGATGTTTACCTCACTAATAAAAATAAATAAGTGGTAAGTGGTTGGATAAACACAGATTAAATAGACGTAAAATAAATGACAATCATTAATTATGTCAAATATTGACATACCGATTGCCATTCTTGATCTTGACGTTATATACTATAACGTAAGGTACTCTCTATTGATGTGGTTTTATATTGAAACATTTTTTTGTTTGTTTGTTCAGTTAACCGTGCTAATCTTAGGTACTACTCGTTCGAAATAAAATAAAAAGGGTGCGTGTACTTATGTACGCGCGTAAGTAGTTATACTTCTTTGGCATTATTATAAATAGTTTTTGATTTCATGCAAATAATTAATTACAATTAAATAATCAAAGACTTGAAAAGGAGTCATTATAGTCAATAAAGTTCAGTTTACATTTGAAAAATTAAATAAATAAATATTTATTATTATTCTCTTACATTTAGTGTAACATAAATTCTATTATTATTCGAATGTTGTTTTTAAATTATGTCCAATGCCGTAATGCATGTTTCGTGGGCAACTTCATTCTGTTAATTTTGTGTCACGATGCGCGCATCGTAAAATTTCACTGTCATCAATTTTTGTTTTGGATAGTCCGCAGGGCACGTACTACGTGGCATTTGAATAAGCTAAATAACTCAATAATTTGTGTTTTATAGTCATCATCATATTCAGTTAAAACTGTAAATGGATCATAAATGGAGTACATATACAGTAAAATATATGCATAAATAGGTAATAATAAAAATTAAATAACAGAATATGAGGAGTTTCAATGTTCGGGCTATAATGAATTACAATAATAATTTAAAATTATAATTTTACCCATAGATATCAAATAAGATGTAATAGTAGGTTATTAGAATAAAAACAAACACCGTCTTTATATTTTTAAGTAAGGAACAATTTGACAAATTTTGACTCGTAACGACCTTTGTCCACAGATAGAAGATTAAAGAAGTACCTATTATAATATGTCTCATTTCTACCAATAACTTTTTTTTAATGAAACGACGAACGAAAGAAACTAGTATTAGTATTAATATTTAAAATATTATTATATTTAAGTACAAGCTAATATAATTTCCCTCTTAACTCTCTTCTTCACTTAGAGTGTTTTATTCCAACTCTGTCGTAAATAGTTTCATGGCGTATACATCTTTGGAAGTACTTTTTGGCCCATCAGACGATGTGAAATGTAAGTGAATTTTATTTGTCTATCTCGCAGCATTTCTTCTCTTCTACTGTTGACGACAGACGCGAAGTAGTAAAGAATTACTGAAAACATTTAATTTTAATCGTATATGTATTACACACTTCGAAGTGTCTAAATAATCTTTTCTGAACCATTTTTATATCGCGACCCACGAAAAAGCCAAAAAGTTAAGTCAAACAGTCTTGCGACCCCGTCACTGAATAATATTATAATTTCGTTTTATAACACTACACTATAATTATTAATTCCTTTAATAATAGAATATTTTGTACCTATATGTAGATTGTATTTATTATTTTTCAACAGACTGCGACCCCCTTTTAAAACAAACTCGACCCCCCGCTTGAGAAACGATGTTCTAAGTTAATAGTTTCGGGGATATTACATCATTGCGTTCATCAATTTAAATAATTAGTATAGTACGTTAATTTTGTGATATTATTATTGTAAAATTGTAGATTATGACAGTATTCAAGTTGTCGGCGCAGTTTAAAAATTAAAAATAAATTGTGATAAATATATGTTTGTTGTGTTTGACCCCGGTAAAAGAGCATCCTTTATATTGTTAACTCCTGCAGGATGCTAATATTTATAAAACTCGGATAGGTGGTAGGTACGGGAGTACCTCAACACTTACTTGCATAAATAAAATATGCAGACACCATTGTGCTGACTTCAGATGTCGTTTCCATATTTTTGGCGACTTTGAGTGCGATAAGAATACTCCCGAAGAGCGATGCAATTAATAATATTACTGCATATATCCAAGCAGTAAGTAGCCACGGAAGAAGGAACTTTGGTTTTTTCTGTGAAACATAAAATATACTGTTCATTTAAGCACGTATATATATGTGAATGTAGATATTATATATGAAAACGTCTCATAAACAATCGTAGTCATTGACATTACAGGCATTTCATACGCATTATAATTAGAAGTTCATTCCTATATAGTTGAGCAGACGCATTTTCATCGAATTATAGATATTTGCTCCAAGGATAAAATTCAGTCACTAAGCAAGGCTTAAAGCCAAGTTTATGAGGTACCTACTTGAATAGACCTTTTGAGAGTCCTATTTCATACCTGGAAAGCGCCATATGCCATGAGACAGGCCATGATGAATTTGATAACGGCTGCAGCGGCCACAACTACGTAACTTATTCTTCGTATCTCGGTGTCTGGTCGTGGGAGTAAAGCCGCTGTTCCGTACACCAGAACAGTGCAAGTTGACGTCATCTATAATAGGTTTATTAGTTTAATATTGTCTATATTCCAGCTTTTTATGGTAAAACAGTGTTTCAAATTGTGGGTCACTGTTTCCTGGGGAATAATGCAAAAGTATAAAAATATTTTAAAATACATATAATAAAATACATGAAAATAGTAACGTGTACTATATACCTAATAATAAGTCATGTTATGAAAAAGTCTAAAAGACGCTAGTAGATTATACTTGTAGCTAATAGCTATATTCTTCAGACTAACCTATGTCAGATACGCAAACTTATTTACGAGTAAAACAAATTAAACAATACAAATAAATATTTTGCGTCTTATGTCATACCAGGTTTATTTCACTGAGTTAATAAGTAAACAATTTGTAAGTTTACGTTCTATCTAAGACCACACCAAATATGTGGGTCAAACCCTTGGAAGACCCTTGTATACCATGCCAATGTTGTTAAATGCAATCTTACAAAACTATACTTACATTGCCAATCTAAGTTAAAAATACTCTGAAGTATTTTTATATTTAAATAATGCAATAATAATTAATAACGTAAAAGACTTTCCTTTATAAAATATCTTAATAATTGTATAACAGTTATGATACCAGAAATAATATTTTGTATCTATGAGTCTGAAATAATACTTACTAAACTCAAAATTGCAACTATTTTGGCGCCAACACTCAAACTTATACAACAACAACAGTTTGACATAGGAAGACACATTTTAAATCTAAAATGATTAGGACTCAATAAATAATCTAATAAATCGATGAATATCACCGAGAATGATTTTTTTGTACTTATACTCGTAGGTTAAAATTTTCTGTTAACTTCAATCACTAACCGGCTACACGAATAAAATAAATACCAATAAGTAATTGACAAATAACTGGAAGCAATCAGTGTGATAATCTTATTATCTGAGTTATACTGATAAACGGTATCACACCTCCCGTTAGACAGGCGCCGATACAAAGTAATTCTCTTTTTCACCAACTGGATAAATCAACCTATTTCAATTTATTTATATATACTTATCTAATTCTCGTAATTTTATATTACTAACTGTGAAGAATACTTTCAAAATATACGATTTAATAGATTTTACTAAAAGTAACTTTAAAAAAGCTTTCGTTTTTATAAAATTTGTGTAGAAAGTTATTAATAGGTACTCAATAAAGTGTGTACAGTGGCGTAACAATACCATCTGGGGCCCGTGGCAAATCTTCTTTCGTGGCAATTCTTTTGATGGGGCCCTATCAGTAAAAATCGTCCCCACTCAGTTTACTTTTAATAAACTTCGAGACTTTCAAAGTACTTAATTACACGTTGTATATGTCTCACTAATGGCAATAGGCCTCCTCTCTTTGGCGAGAGGGAATGGTCTGTAGTCCCTACGCTAGCCCAATGCGTATTAGAGACTTCACATTAATCCATAGAACATAATATCTCTTGGACAGGGGGCAGGGGCCCTCTTTGCATGTTACCAGCCCTGCCACCCTATTGCTAAGCCACTGGTGCCTGATATAAAGAAGAGCACTGCCCAAGCAGCACCTGTTTACGTTGAAGTTGTCGTCTCTGTATTATTCTTATAATTCTATCAAAATGTTCAAATTCAAATAGAAAAAAAATACTATTTTTTAGAATTATCATATTGGCAATATGTATATATTAGTAACGTAGCGACAGTCCGGTTAGATAATCCGTTTCACGTAAAAAATATGAATCTATTGATGTTTTTCATAATAATAATTTTACCTTGGAGATTTTAGATTATGTAGATATTATTGTAGATATCGTTTGCATTATCAGTAATAGTTTATTAGTCATTGTATAGAGACGTGTAGTGATGATAAGAGAGACGGAGAAATATGGGAGTGCCCATGGTTAAGCGTTGTTGCTGCTGCGCCACTCTGCACACTGGGACCTTGATTATAGCCTATCTGTACACGGTATGATCTTAACAGGTGATATTGATAGCTTATCTATCACTTAAACACCATACATTTATACTGAAATCCTACGTTGTATCTATCGTGTCATGCCTTTTCTATGCTCAGTAAATGCCAAAATTCGAAATATTAGTAGTATTTCGCAGTTTTTTCATTTTATGATTCTTTATTACCGACTTTATTATCACGTTTATCACGAATTATATTTGTTTGATACGTCATTGTTAACATTACCTTGCGCGCAGTTATAAATAGTAGAATGTACCTACCTAACCACTTAGTATAGCACTCGACATCGGTAGGACGAGGAGGATTTCACTTATGTACCTATGTTTTTGTGTGTCAAACAAAATATTACACAAGTACAACGTTATTACGATCAAGTCTACTTCTACTCCATTTTCTTTTACTTGCTCTTAGCAAGGTTGACTGGTCGTGCCGGTTAAATAATAGCCGTCCTCGTTTGGATACCTAATATGATAAATCTTTTTACAAATGGGGGAAACCCAACCCCCTATACAAATTACATAGATGTCAGTGAAATGTGTACCCAAGTTCTTGATAATAGTTCTTGTATGTATGATAACAAATAAAACTTCAAATATACCCACTTGAAGTAGAATCGGCTTAGTAACAAAAACGAATATATGCAAAAACTGGCCGAGGTTTTAGGCTTTATTTTATAGCAATTAATAACAAGCGAGTTATGTAGAAAATCTAATTGACTTGACTGTTTTGTAAAAAAAATCCGGTAAAATTTTAGAATTAAATGAAAATTTATTAATGGAGTATTGACTCTGACTGCTGAGAGATTTTAATTTTTTCCAGGTATGGGCATTACTGGAGCTGACCGGGTACAGTTTGCTTGTCACGCTTGCTCCTATCGCCCGAGAAGGTACTGTGTCTGCTCATCGGTCCGTCTTGTATATCACAGCAGCTACTGTTAGCGGCATACATTTATTATGCTCCCTTCTTCTCATTGTAGCAGCGTATAAGGTCAGTTTCCTTACAATGATTTCTATCAATCTGAAATTATTACACAATACAACAAAAAAATTATAATGATCGAGATAAAATCTCAGGACTTCATAAATATTGATGTTCATAGGCATTTAGGTATACGCATCAATATTAAATCAAAATACTACCTTCTTATTAACGTAACCACGTATGCAATTTCAGCTAAATAAATCTATATTTTAGTTTAATTCATTATTTTGTTTTCATCAGAAATTGGCGTCCCTAACTCTACCATGGACCATAGTGACGGGTATTCTGACAGCGTTGTTCTTCGTTATGTGTCTCACAGGCATCAGTCTGATTCTTCAGGACTCCGGGGAGACCCTTGAAATAGAAATCGTGGTTATCGCTGTGCACCTTGCGCGAGCTTGTGAGTGTTTATATTCGCTTTAAAAAAGCAATTGTGTTTTTGTTTTTTTAATAGTAACCCAACCAAACCATAATTATATTTATGTTATTAATATCATCTTACAGTTAAATATACGTTTGTTCAAGTAACACGTCCTTATAATAATTTATTAGCATTAACTCAAACTTCAACATTGCTATTGTTTTATTGCAGGCGTTTCAGTATACAGCATCATAGTGGTTCACAGCCGTCACAAAGAGATCATGTACGAAGAAGATGAAGCACGGTTTCAAGGCTCAGCAAGGATATACTATCCTGTAAAAACCTCTGACCATCCCTTATAATATATTTTTTAATATGCACTGCTTTTTGTGACAAATAGATTAATGAATATCGAAAAGTGCACCTCCAATATTTCTCCTTCTATCACGAAGCTAGTCTTATAACGGATCGTTTTATCATACAGACAATTTTCCAAAATCCCAGAACCGTTGTTGTGAAATGTGCATTTCCTGCTGTGTCAAATGCTGCAGGCACAGGGCGTTACGGTCTAATATCTTCAGGCAAACCAGTTAGTGTTCCGTTCTGATCGACTATTTTCCCTTTCCACCGAAGGCCTGCAATCCTCCAGAGTTTTGTGAAACGTAAATTGTTTAAGTTTAAAAAATTAATTTAAAAAAAAAATGCCACGGGCTCCCGACCCAAGAGATATTATGGATGAATGTCAAGTCTCCACTACGCATTCGGCTAGCGTGGGGACTACAGACCATTCCCTCTCGCCTAAGAGAGGAGGCCTATGGCCATTAGTGGGACTTATACGAGTAATTGAGTACGCTGTAAATCTCGAAGTTTATTAAAATTAAACTGAGTACAACGTGACGATTTTTACTGATAGGGCCCCATCAAAAGAATTTGCCACGGGCCCCAGGTGGTATAGTTACGCCACTGAATAGATGCCTGTTTTGTTTGTTAGGTGTAAACTAGTCTTTTTTTTATATAACAAGCAGTAAACGGGCCTATTGACACTCACAATGCGAGTGAAGTGCCGGTCTTTTAAGGATTTACACGCTCTTTTTTTAAAGGAACCAAAGAAGACAAAAATGAAGAGCTAGCGGTTGAGCGGAGTATAAATATGAACTGGAATAAGTTTTGATCCTTGACGAACACCTTAAAAGGGAAATTTCCCCTTTACCTAAAAACAAAACTTGAACACACAGGTGTTAATGGTTGTGGTTAGACTTAAATAAGATACACATCTTACCTACTCTCACATACGGATGTTAAATGTGGACATACAATACTAAAATAAAAAAAAAACTAGTAACATGCCAGAAATTAATGGAAAAAGCATACTTAAAATTAGAAGAATGCAAAAATTAATAAGAGCAGAAATAAGACTGAAACAAAAGTTACAAACGTATGTATTACGTTATACCCTAAAAAAGTAGTGGCACTGGGCGGGGTGTATTGCAAGACGTACAGACAAAATATGGACTTTAAAAAGAACTAAGAAAATGAAAAGGACCAATGGGAGGAAAGAGAAGAAGGTATCCTAGAAAAAGGTGGATAAATAATATCAAAAGAATAGCAGGAAACGAATGAAGAAAGAAATGGATAGAGAGGTTTGCAAAAGGCTAAAGGCCTTTACCCGTGAAGGTGTTCGTGTTCCGCACAATGCTACCGAAGAAAGTTATGATAACGAGTAATAAGAAAAAAATATACATAAATATATTCATTGTAAATAGTATATTGTCAACAATTGATTGAAAATAAACAGGTTTTTATATTATTTTATGTGCTTTCTTACGGTCTTACTAATAAAGAATTATGCACATCGTATAAGCCTGTTATAAGAAAAATGTTACTAATAATTCCTGAATTGACACGTTTGATGTATACGGCTGTTATAACAAGTGTCTGGTTTGTATGAAGACTTGTACAATGCTTATACAACGCCGAGGCCTAGTTTAACGGGTGTATAGGACATAAATTGCGTTATTTGATCTGATTTCGCGTTTGACAGCATTTTTTGACTGTTTAGTTCAAGGAAAGATTTAAGTAAGTAGGTATTTGTGTTTGTTGAAAATAGATTTTATAGATCAAATGGAAGATTTAGATAATATTGATATGCAGCTAATACATACGATTGAAGATTTGCCGCCTCCAAGGAAAGTCAAAACATACCAAACTCGGTGCAATGCTGAGAATGCTCCAGAAGAACCAAGGCCAACCTAGACGCCCCCAAGCAATCAGGCTGGACAAGCTGCTAGAGCTGCTTTTATTGAAACATATTTTTAAAGCTGTTTTATTTACATAGGTGTGGATAGTTAGACGTGAAATAAATAAAAAAGTTATATTTCATTTAAAACAGGGGTTTTATTTTTTTATAAGTATATAATTATTCATTTAATTGCTGCTGTAATAGTTTGAGCCTTAGAAGATGCTCCTGTCTAGCCCATTTGTGAGCTTCGGCAAGTTGCTTCTGTTTGAGCTCATGTGTTTGAGCCATTTGCCTTACGCGGTGTCCTGCGTAAGCGACGAATACGACGCGACGCGACGCAACACGACGCGACGTAATGCGACGCGATGCTACACGCGACGAATGTCCTACGTAATTTGGTCATTACTTCTCGAATCATGGAGAAGTACAGTACAATTTTGCTCGAAAGTTCATACTTAAAATATAGACTTTTAAAAAAATATCGTAAAAAGCATAGAAAAAAAACCAAATATAATATTTTTACAAAGAAACACATTTGGCGAGTTCCATCATTTATATCCAAAATTAAGAAACGATTCTAAAATGTTTAAACAATATTGTGGAGTGTTACTAATAAACGATTCCTATAATGTTTATGTTTTTTGTCCCACAACAATCTTTGCTCACGCACTGCGGCGATCAACGCTTCAGAATCAACCATTTCATAGTTCGTAGTGTCGCGTCTGGTCGCCCTCAAAACAAGTCCGCGTGACGTCGCATCTCGCCGCAGACTGTCACATAGGCCGTAAGTAGGGTATGCCGTTGATTTGATTGCGTTGGTCGCGTTCACAGCATCGCGTCGCGTTGTATTCGTCGCTTACGCAGGACACCGCGTTAGTTTGGTTTCATGCTCTTCCTGCAAACACTGGAACACTGCCGTGTTGCGGAGTTTGGCACTTTCCACTATTTGAGATGCCTAAAAAATTTAAGTATGATCGTTGAGGGCTTTTGAATGAAATAGTCCTTTTCTCTATCACATTGATACTAACCTCTCCCAACTTTTGTACTGCAGAACGTGGCTTTTTATGTAAAATTCTAGTCCTCTTTGTCTGAATATAATTGTTTTGGTTGCTAAAATAAATACAACTTACATTTGAATTATGACTTCTATCAGAATTATTAAGTCAAACGTCAATCAAACACGGCGGGTTGCCAGGGTAACAATAAATAAGGGTCGTTTAGTTATTCAACCAATACACATCGATTATTGGTCAAAGAGGTGTTTATGCCCTGTACAAGCTCTATTCACTGAATAACTATCACCTTGTTATAACTCATGCATAGTGATTTTTTATTAGTAAGACCGTTAGTCTTTACACTACTAGTAACTAGAGTCTAGACTAGATTTTGACAGTCTAGACTCTAGACTGTCAAAGTCTAGTCCTCCGCATTCCTGTCATACATTATAGTCTGTGCGGACTGTGACCCATATTCTTCGTGTCTAGTACAAACAAAAAAAAATCTGTGTATTATCTCCATTCTCCAGTGTCTCCACCCAATACATATTGAGTATTGATTATTCGGTATTCCCAATTTCCCACAGCCTATTGTAAGTACCTAATACCTATTGTTATTAATTGCTTTTATACGAAAATAACGTCTCAAACGTAAAAACTAATACGGAAAACCAATAAAAATTAAAATCTTAAATACATAGTGTGAATTGACACTTAATTTCTGAAAATATCGATTTACTTCCATCATTAAATACTGGTGTTGTCTCTATTCTCTATCCAAATCCTTTGAAAGTTTTGTGTTTGCACTAGCGGTGATAAGGTAGATTCCAACATTAAATAAAGATCAATTTTAATGTAGTTGTTTCGAGAACGTTGTTCTCATCAAGGAGTGAAATATTTTCTTAAGGTAATAGGTATGTGTGGTTTTATAAACTACGGACTAACGCATAACTAGTTTTATAACATTTTGTCTCCTGATTTCTTTTCTACACTCGCATAATCAGTAAAAAACCATTAAGGGTTACTCATTTTTTGTTATTAAAATGAACCATTGTAATATATTAAATTACAATATAATCATAAATAAATATTCATGGATTTATTTATAATAAAAATAAATAATATTGTTAAATATTAGTAACATTATAATATTTTAGATTTTGTTATTTCTTGAGTTTGGTTTACTTCTATCACTCACATCTTGTGAGCATTTTATTGAACAAGTGTTGGTATGAAAATTCTTTAGTAATACATGTACAAGGAAAATGTCTAATATAGTATTTGTAAAGAGTAATCTACAGACACATAAGGAAATAGCTTTTACCAGAAAGCCTTTAAGGAAGACCTTAAAATTATATATTTCCTTCAAGCATTATGAGAAATCAATTATATTTGTTGTTTACCTGTGCAGTAAGTTTCAAAATTTTAAACTCTTATGTACCAGAAGACAAACTATTGTAGCAGTGTAAAGTTAAATAAAAAATTTGAATTTATTGATATCCTTAATGCCAACAGAATATACCATAAATAAAGCTTGTATTGTAGATTCTAAATGTGAATATCAGATTTTTGTAGTGTCCATGTTTTCTCAGAATTGGGTGAACTTTAAAGAATTTACTCAATTAATAGGCGTGTGCTTATTAAGATAGATTTTATGCTGTTAGTTATTTTTGACATCATAAACTTAAATAAAGCTTATAAAATATAAAAGCTTTATTTTTAAAGTAATCATAATATAATTTTATGACTTAACTTAGTTTCTTGTTGAAGTACTTGTGCTCAACAAAAATTAAATCAAATGCAGATATGTCACAGACTGATATAAAATATCTTGTGCAGTGTATTATTAAGATGTTTGTAATCGGTCCAGGCCAGAATCATCTTTAACGGTTTAATTAGAACAGAATAAAAGGAGCCCTAGAAACGAAGCAGGACTAGGTAGACTAGACATTGACATTTATCAAGTTCATCTCAAGTGTGGTGCAACTTACAAGCTAGAAATAACATAGTTAAGTCTACGGGACATAATAAATTATCTTATTTGAGCTTTGATTCAGCACTTTTCTTTATTTTATTGTCCCTTTCATTGTCTACAAATGTTTTGTTCCATTCTTTGTCTAAGTAATTGTATATCTTATGTAGTTTTGCACTTCTTTCTCTTACCTTATGTAATGTAATTTGTTTCCTCACGGTGCCTGGAAGATTGCCTTCCTCTCGCAAAAAAGTGTAAATAAATAAATGTGAATTCATTATAGAGATACAAACTCACACTTATATCTTAAACATTGGTATACACATGGTCTGAAAACTAAAAGCTATTCTGATTTAGGATTACTTGTCACATACACTGAAAAATTAACTGGTAAAAACTTACTGGATAAAAAGTAGTTTATGAAACCGGAACCGGATATATTCTTGAAAAATTAATAAGTTCATTTGCACATACCATAACAATGAATATGGATTGCCAGTAATGTTATTTTTCTACTTTAAATCTTAATGATTTTAAAGTTACTTAATTTTTGTTGTGTTGAAAAAATTCTCCATTTGAAATTAAATTACTAATTAATCTATCAATTACTTTTAAATTATGTTTCGTGGTTATAAAATCTTTATCAATCGAGTAATCAGAGTTATATGTGTTTTCAGATTATCAGTGCGAAAAATGGGGGTTCCACATATAACTGGATTTTGTTGGTGCATGGGGTTGGAGACTGGCTGCAAGTTCATTGGATTTTTGCATTTGGTAAGACTATATAATATAGAAGTTTATATGTCAATATATTATAGATAAAAGTGCGTGCGTACAAAGTACCCATGTCAGAAATGATACTTCTTTGGCAAACTAATTTTTAGGTCTTGTTCATATTTATACAAATGTAAAACCTTAGATTCCCGTGACTTAGAGGGAGGGAAAAAAAGAAGATATGTTAGGAATTTAATAAATTTAATTGTCATTAAAATATTAAGTGTCAAAGATTAATACAAATTGTAAATTTAATTTTTGAATTTATATCTTCGATAATAAAAACACGTGGCAATTTAATTTACAATGTGTCATTTGAGATATCAATAAATTATTTTGCATAAAATATAAAATACTAATACATATTTCATAAATTTCTTTCCGAAATTTTAATGTTTAAAAATATAATTTCTATAAGGTAATTCGCCCTTCTCACTCTCTCTCAGTCGGTTTCAATCGCTCTCTCCCTTTTCTTCGACAAAAACGCTGCACATCTTCGTGACGCTATTATTGTTATTATTGCGTTTCATCCGTAACAATTTTACCCTCATTATACTAAAACATTTGCTGTAATAATTATAAACTAATGGTTTGTTATGTTTAAAACCATGCTGTTTATTACAAATCGCTTAAATCCCGGGGGGGCCCGGGTACGATGCCCAGATGTGAAACCAGGGCTACGAATGATACAATGTAAGCCTTCGGTTTCCGTAAACTAACTATAATAACTAGTATAACTTTTTCAGCTGACATCGTTCAGTCTGATGGTTGTTTGTTCGATATACGCGGAGGCTTTCCGCGCCTTCGCGGGCACAGCCGAAGACGCGGGCGACCACGTGTACAGCACCTGGTACGCCATCACCACCTCAGTGGCGGTGCTGAGCGCGGTTCACGTTCTTCTGGCCAGCTCCCTGCTGTACGGGGCATACAAGGTGGGTTTCTCGTATGTAATTAACGTATTGTGAGATGTAAATATTTAACCTTCCGTAATATCTTCTGCTATACGCGAGAATCGAATCGGTCAAAACTTAAATCATTTATTAACTAATTCGTTTATTAGAGAAACACACAAACAGTTACAAATACACAAAATAACACGAGTATCAAAAATACGGTCGACCGACCACGACAGTGATTTATATGATTAAATATTCATAAACATCAGTCACTATATAAGTGAGATATTAAATGAAATTGCAAAATTGCTTAAAAAACTCGTGGACGTAAGGAGTTTTGTATCTCTCTGTGCTGCGATTGCTTTTTCTAATAGACAGGAAAGCGATCAGCCTTCCGTGCCTGACACGCGTGGGTGTCGAATGCGACCGTTAATGCCTCTTTCGGAGACGAGAGCCGAAGTCGCACGTCGGTTCGATCTCGCTCGACCTCTAAAATGAGTATTTAAATCAAAAGCGATCCTGCCGAGTGCTTCGCGGGTGGGTGTTCGTGATGTGCGCGCTGTCTCTGTCTTCGCTGCTGTACATCTTGGGGTCCATGCCCTGGGGCTTCTCCTCCTCGGGCTCCGAGATCTACTTGGCCGTGGTGGAGGGCGTTTTCTTTTACGGTGAGATACGGTTCATCTATTATCTATTTAATCGCAGATTCGATCGGAGTCCTTATATCGATAGCTGAACATTATTTAAAAAAAATTACAGGTTCGATGTTGTACTGCATCCTCTGCGTCAACAGCTTTTACCTGATGCTGAAGAGCACCGAAGATATGCGGGGACCCTGCAAGGCCGACTATTAAGAGGCTTCTTGAGGTTAAATGTCGCTTAAACGGCTAAGTCTTCGTTGTCGCTCCTATCACTTAAAAGTTTCAAAACAATTTCATTAGACAGCTATTTAACCATGTATTCCCCGCCAGGCCGAAACTTGTTTTTGATGTACTCAATTTAGATGTCTTCTATGTGATTATTATATATATATATATATATATATGAGGGAAAACGGCTTTGCATTTAACTAAAGCTGAACGCCGGCAGTAGTATACGGAATATTCTGATGCCAAAGAATCTCTATTTTATATAGAAAATAAAGTATTGAAGAGAACGAAAAGCCATTTTTAAAAGAATTCGAATGTCGTATTTACGAGAAAAATGAATTTTACGAATCGTCTATGTGAATTGTATTTACAATATTAAACTATTCGTTTTTGACGATTTTTCCGACTCTAATCCTAGGACCACTCTTTACTAAAAATAAACAATCAATTCTTTTTATGGACGCTTTGATCCGTCAGATTGAGCAAAGACGTCCGAACGGGGTGACCCGGGAATGACCTTTCACCTTTGGACTCGTTCTTTTTCATAAATACTCGTTTTCATTTATATGAAATTATATATTATATATATTAAGGCAATGCTCGTTTTGCTTAATTTACAAATAAAAGTAAAATGAAGTACACTTTACAGACTTGCATTTAAACTTTATTTCTTAATGTCTACCCAATGTTCGGTGCCATGCATGAGTCGTTTAATTTGTCTGGTGATATAAATGTGATTTTATACTTTTTCAATATATTATGTTGTTTTAATGAATTTAAGTTGTTATTGACTTAGAAACGAGTCCTTTTGCGCCACTTTTTAAATAGGTTTTAACTGTTAGGGTTAACTGCTTAATGCTTAAAACTTGATTAATATTAAGAATATGTATAACTTAGCGTATAAGTAAATGTTATTGTTGTTTCTGGTTAAGACTTAACTGTAATTTTCAAGTACATTCGTATGTCACCGTGATCTAACAGAACGTGTCGAATTACTTCTGTAATGATATTTTTTGGGTAATATGGAATCGCCATTCGAGACCACAAATACGACCTCACCACTAATGGGTGAAGCTGGGAATGGCCTACGTACTTATAAATTAGCCATGTCTTTATTATTTTGTAAAGTTTAATATATTTTATATTTGCTTATTTTGTCTTTCGCTGTGCGGCGCCATCTAGGAGCGGTTTCCAACATCTTACAGAGATAAGTTCAGCTTTCGCTCGTAGATGTCGCCACGTGTATGATGTTCGCTCTTCCTGCGATTTATTTTTTGACGTTTATTCGATTATACTGAAATTCAGATCTATTATATTTTTACATTAACCGTTTGGTATTTTAAATTCTACTTGTAACTTTTAAAACTATATGTAAAAAAAGTATTAAATACTTCATTACTATTTTTTAAAATATAATATTGATGTTATTTTCAATAATTAAGCCCCGAAGGTAAATAGTTGTGTATTTCATGTAAACAAATTAAAAAAAAAATACGACGCAGAAATCTAATTGTTCAGTTACATTATAAGATTATACTCAAATAGATAATAAATGTGCTCTTCGAACGTTTGTTATTTATTTCCTCCGAGAGGGCGACGGGTGGGTTCATGAATCAAAATCAGTTTATGCAATTAATTATTTATTCATCGGAATAGTCTTATTTTACGATGAGTCACATTGAGTTCCCTCCGAGTGGTAATTCAATAAATATATTACAATTTTATTCTAATATTATAAGTACAGATTACGGCGGTTTAAGACTAAACAACAATTTATCACAACGCCGAATATCAGAATATTTTGAGTCTATACAATTGTTTCGAAAGCCCTGTCAATTGAACTGAAGAGCTCCATAACAAATATAAACAAATCATTGCTTAGAATACAGGTATGCAAGCTTTACAATAATTGGTCACCTGGTGCTGCCATTTTATTGTACTTGGCGTTAGAGTGCTACAGACGCGGCACGTGTTTACATTAAAAGTTTCGACAAATCAAGTTTAATAGGATTCATAGAACATTTCTCTTCGATATTGAGCGAAGGTTTACCGTCGTTTTAAAGGTTTTGCTGGACGCGGCCGCCAGTCGTGTCCTCTAATACGTTAACAGGGCTTTAGTGACGCGTACATTCAGTTACTTCTTTAGGCCAAACTTCTATTCGTCAATAATAAGTACTGTGAGTGCGCACTTGTCTTAATATACTTTTATTAACTTCTTAATTAGGCTAAATTAAGATAAGTCAATTACGTTACAAGATAATAAAAATATCGCCGACAAAATTATGTTGATTTCAGTTAGGCTCTTTTAAAGCTTTGTGCCGATTTGAAGAACTAAGGTAAGTAGAAATATCATGTTGACAGCTGACAAGTCTATCATCTGCGGCCATCACAATTCACAACCAATGATAAAATAGAACAAAAGATACGATAGATGTCGTTAATGGCGCAATTCAAATCGACTCCTCGAGATAAATATTTTTCTAGCTGATCTCAATATAATATATAATTATTGCGCAATAAACGAACCTATCTATTAAGTAGCTATTACAATAAAATAAGTGTTCTTTAGTAAAAATACTGACACACCGATGAATGCGTTCATTTGTCGTTTTTGGTAATGTCTTAATTATCTTATTTGTTAGTCTTTCCACAATAAATTTACAATTTCGTTACAATTTAAGAATATACAGCGGAACACCTCGTCTCGCAAAACATGGAATGTCCGATCTCCCAAACTATAAAAATATGATAACTTTGTATACGCTACGAAAGAAAATTCGTTGAACCGTCGATAATCCGGAGCCTTAAGCCTAATAAGTACATTTAGTGCTAAATGGCGAGTCGCCGCAACTTTATACAACGCTAAACAGATAAATACTTAACTAAAGGTATTGCACGAAAAGTGGGAAACGTTAAATAGGCTAGAATGTACATAATTACAGCGGGGCCAGAGGAGCCGGGGGTCAGTAGAGAGGCTGCTCGGTGCCCACGTCGATGTCCTGCCGGTCCCCGTCCTCCTCTGCGCTGGCCCGCAGCCCGCGCACCTGTGGACAGTCCCGCCGCTCATACAGCTGCAAAGGCAACGTCGGACTCTCTTTACTTGAAGCTCTTAGCTATGTTTCAATAATGTTAAGTAAATAATTGAAAAGTTTGCACGAATAAGTCGTCAAACAGGCGTCCTCGCAAAAGTTTATAATATAATTGACATGGTTTGTACCTGAAGAAGGAGGTTGCTAGAGAGCAGACGCGCATGATGCTCCTGCGCCTTTGCTCGAAGACAGGCGATGCTGTTGTTGCGGAAGGCTTCCGGGTCTTCGTAAACGTCGCGACCGTCGGGCGAAGTCCGACCCTTCGCCCCAGATGATGCTGTTGTGCTACTGCCCGGAGAGCTTTGTGCCTGCAGAAAGCCCATCCCAAATTAGTGACTTCTAGGAAAAAAAACTGATTTTTGTTTTAAACTAAAGGCTTTGATTTTAGTGCCTCCTACACCTTTACAACCATGCAGTGTTTTCTTAATGTAAAATACTGACAAATGGCTAATATGTCGTGATAAAGAAATATATCTAGACGTTAGTTTTATAAGCAAATCACATTTAGATCTGAAATGTAAACCGGGACCGAGCCTAATACCACACAGTCCTAGGTTAAACTGACCATTCGTACATCTTCTATTAATAGAAAATGAACAGTTCTTCAGAACAGTATCTGATTACCTGAGCGTCGTGCGGGTCGTGGCGATGCGAGTGAGGGGAGTGGGGGGAGGCTGAAGGCGCCCGCTCTCCTTCGGCCTCCGAGCCTTCGCGCTCCGACCCTGACTCCTTTAGGTGTTGCGCCGCTTCAAGAGATTTGCGGTGCATACCTGCAAGATTTAACCTCTATCAAGGAATGTACAACACTACCACTGAAGTTAGATCCATCGTCAATTCCTAAATTCAACATACGTGGGTAACACTGAAAATGTTAAGAATTGGCCAGTTAGAAACATTGCTTACGAAAACTTTTTTGAATTTCCATTTTAGTAACCAACAAACTCTTTGGTAACCTAATGTAGTAGGTATATTGCATTCATTTGTCATTTGTTTTTGTGATTGGTGGCAAATCTAAAACTCTTGTTTCACGTGAAAATGAACCTAAAGCGAGAAAATTTTCGGTCAATGATTTATTATGACTTTCGTTGTGGGCTCAACAACAAAGCTATGATTGGTTGCGATTAGCATTTCTTAATGAAGCCCTATTTCGTGCCACTATTTGCAATTGGTACTAGGATAACATCAGTGCTGAGCGACGCATGATAGAGGAAGATAAAAATTATCAGTATTACCTAGGTATTAGAAGAAGCGTCTTATTTGCATTGGCTAACATCAAGAGTTGCTTAAAAAGCAAAAATTCATTTTCCCTATTTAAAATAAGTTGTGGCGTCTAAGTACTAATTTAATTTAAATTGTTGTCTAAAGGAATAACAAAAGCGGAGCAAAGTCTGTCGTAATGAATGGAAACAATCACTTATGGCGTTATCAAAGCCGTGACGATCACAGCACTCGATATTAACCCGGATAACCAAATGAGCTGGTTACAAGGCGCCTCCCTTCATTTAGATGCATCTATGCACGATACTTCAATACCGATAACTCGAAGTACGGGGACGGATTCAGACTTATTATGCTCAATGTAAGTACATATAATCACTGTTCATTGTTAAACAGTGCACCAATTATATAGTTATAGAGTCTGGCTAATGAAAGAAGATAACTAGAAGCGCGGCAAATTAAAAAAAAAATAGTATAGGTAGTACCCCTAAAAGTTTGATATATTTTGTGGATTAAACTTACTTGATACTTGATTTTATTTTATAATTTTTTACATTGATAGTAACTGTATTTCTATGAAATTAAATACTATACGTTTTTAGTCTTTTATTGAGTCTTAAAAATACTAGCATTGCATGGAAAACTAAAACTATATTTATTAAAAAACACAACTTTATTCGGAATAATCAAAATCAGAATCCAAAAAATCAATAAAACAAAGTTTAGGCTATTTTACCTGTTAACTATTCGGAATAAAATATATAATAGAAATAAAAATGAGTAATTGCATGAAGTATCAAGACAATAAATCATACTAACCTAAGAAATTCAATGACATTCTGTGTTGCCATCCGAAAGTTTCCTTCTTTCATTAGCCAGACTCTAGTACTAATGTACCTACTTTAATATCTTTCCAATTTGAAAAGAAAAACAAAAGTGATCAGGCTTTTTGGTAATGATTTGTACTATCTACGAAACAGGAGACATACAAATTGTTTTATTTATAAATGGTTTATATCATTTTTTTCAGGAAAGCAAAACATTTCATTGAGACATTTTTATATTTTTTTAATTATCATTGCAACCTGTGTTTTACCTTTATTTTTATCGTCGAATATACGCAATAACATATATATATTAACACTTTCAAGAAATCAGGGCAAGGTTTAGAGTCGTATTATCACTTAAGAATTTAAAGGTAAGAGAATTCGTGCCTGTGGGAATGATAACGAAGTGTGGATCTCGCCAATAGAGCGACACGTATCCGCTCACGTCATTAAACCGTCTTTGATCTCACTTTTTACCATTACTTCACAGATTAATTCAGGAATTTGACTAATTAAGTTGTTCAATGTGAGCTCTGGGTCTTTTATCTGGTTTTGGGCTTTATTAAAACTTGTAAAATCGTAAAAAATATGATGCTTTAATTAATGCCCGTGCTGGTTTATTTTGATTCTCTAATTATACCTATCGGCACTTTGTTATTGTATTAAATCCTGTTGAGTTATTTGTTAGTTAACTCAGCAATTATAGCCGTTACGTTTATACACTGATATAATAACATTCGTGTTTTAATGTTGGTTAATAAGACGGTTTAAATTTTAATATACAAATAACTTGCAAGCATAAATAAAAAGATCACACCTATACATGTAAAATACTTACTACATCATTACTCGTAATACCTATTAAGATGTTAGGTTTAGAGATAGATAGAGAACCGATTTTTATATATTTGTTTAAAATTTGAAATAACCAATCAAAGACAACTATTTTCTAAGCTATTTTCATAATAAAGAACTATGAAGATAATATAATAAAATATAATATCGAAGCAGGATTTTACGAGGTTTTTATATCCGCGTACAAGCTGATGTGAATACTGAATACCTAATCAGTAGACGTGGCTCTTCTTTACGACATCGAGTGGCGCCGTTGCTGTTCATTTTATTTAATATTTGATAACGTATGTTGATAAGATCTGAATGGGACAACTTTTGAATAATGAAATATTAATTACAATTATTTATTTGAAATATCAATTAAAATTATTATGAAATCAAAGTTCATTTATTTCAACTTCATGGCATTCATATGATCGGTTGTGATCGTCACTCTTAAACTAAGTTTAACTCAAGTAGGCGCTCTAAGGCACCAAGCCAAGAAATAGCCAGGTATACTTCGAAGATATTTAGAAAATGTATGATTATGTTTTCATTCTTCTCATAATCTTAATAAAGCTAAACGAGCAGCCAAAAGACAAGCACCTTTCTGACCGTCACAAATTGAACAGTACAAACTCGCAAAGTTCCTCTATTACAGCCCAACTACATCCAGTTTATTCAAACGTAACTGCGGTCTCCGCGCCAACATTTGTCTTGTGTCTAGCATAATATGGTATTTGTCAGTATTTTATTGACTTCCATTTATGATAATTAAGAAATGCAAATTTCAGCATTTAACGAATTCTATTCACAATTATTAATGTAATATTAATATTTAAACATTTTCAGTGATTAGGTTGTGCATATTCTTATTTACTTAATTGAGGATTAACTAACTAACTTCTAATCTAGTTATATGACCCAAGACTAAGGTGAGGTAAAAATCCTTTTAAATACTTATTAATTTCAAACTTTCAACTTGCAACTTTCCAAAATTCCTAACTCTACTATTAAAAACTCCTTCAATAGTCGTCATTGTCACTTCGGATAAAATAACTTAAATAAATAGGTTTATAAAGTAAGAGCCACAATTGAAGTGCAATGAAATCCACGACGATGACTCAATTTCCTTTGATTTCTATAGATATAACAATGTTTTGAGCCGTTCCTGCGTCTGTTAGCACTTCGCTCTAATGTAGAGTCAATTTTGAAACAAATAAGACATCAAAGCCTTTGCTAATGCGTTGTGTGATAATTTTTAGCCATTTAGTGAAGTGGCTCCGGCGACACAAAGGACACGTCCTATACCACCTAGCGTTTTAAGCTCATAACAAATTTTCATATCACGAACGTTAGGATTGGAATACACGAGAGAGAGATAATTTTTTTGGAACAGTTCTTTTTTATTTCTTTCTATATGTCCATGTTACTCTGGTTTTTGATATAACCAATTAATTTTCAATCGACAACGTAATTATTTCTTAAAACATTCTTCGCTTAATAAATCCTGTATAAACAGTTCGTTGTTAAAGTTTTAATTCGTTGTGTCAGTTAGGGTAGTGGTTGGTATATGTTATTAATTCCTTTGATTTAAATAATGTTGGCCAAATTAAGTGAGGCACTCTCGGCAGTATATCGTGCGAGATTCTGTTAGTTGATAATGTTGCGCGGAGAGCGTAATGCGCGTAGTGTAGACTGCGCCTAAGTGTTGGTGTCATTTTCCTAGATAAAAGCGTTATGCACAAAGCAAGTGTGTAATAGGTTGATAATTTAGAAAGATGCCTGTTTCATCCATTTGCATTTCCTTTGATCTGCCGGAGTGGCGCACACGGCCGTCTAGTGGATTGGATAATGCCTTGATGCGAGGCTTTTGTTTATCACTGATTGACATTTAATTGGCGTTGCCAAGGATTTTCAAGTTTTTTATGCATTTCGAGATTTATTGAGTGGCTCGTCGGGCGCATTAAACTTTTAAAATTGTGCTAAACTTTATGGAGTAGTAGGGCAGGCGGACGATGTCCTTCAGATGAGCCTTGTGCTAGATGCCAAAGTCCCTTTGCTGTGATCTACCGAAAGGCAATGAGAACATACAAAAATAATTGTACATATTGTATATTCTGTAATTAAATTAATAGGTATTTGTTTCGACATTTCTTCTCAGGGCAGTCAGTTAGGAAATGTCGACTTCATCTAGTTTAGGATGACATTGTAAAAGTGATTTATATAGTCCTACTTGCAAGAATAAACTATTTCATTTCATTTCATATAATTTAATTTCAACTAATTTAAGATTAGCGGCAAAGAAAAGTCGTATTAGGTTAATATCAATGAGATATGACTTCTATTATTTTAAAATAAAATAGAAGTACCTTAGTTCATAAGGCTTAGCCTTTAATGAAGTATATTCATATCATTTATTTATTGGACTTTATAGTTTTAAGAATATGGCAAATAACAATTAATAATTTTTTTTTGTTAATAAATGTATTAGCTCCCACTGCGCATTTATATTGCATTTACTTAAATATTGCCTACTTCATTACATAGCTCTTGCAATTGAATAATATTAATGTATTATATTTAAAAAAAATGTTTAGATAAATTTTAATATTAATAAACTTGGACTTAGACAAACATTATCATAATGTGAAGGCAGCCGAAGAGTATTTCATTTCTCAGCTGTTATACCTAATCAGAACCTTACGTTTATGTATTGACGAGGGCAGCCATTTTGAAAATGCAAAATTATAAAAAGCAAAAACAAACGCGACCCCTCTACCACTACATGGGCAGGTGAGTAAGTATATAATTAATATGTAAAGCGGTAGCCCTTTAAATCTGCGTTAATCAAGCCTTAGACAAGGGCGGCCATCTTGTTTCCCCCCCGCCCGGCTTTCCCCTCCGCCCTCGGCCCGATCCCCGCGCCGTGCGCAGCCTGAGCTCTGTGCATATTGCTGCATTCTTTTAATGATTTGTGTGTGTTTTCATAGGGAACGGGTAACGGTGCCCCGTATTGCGTAGCGGCTACGCTGCGTAGGCCCGTAGCCTTTGAACATCGCGGATTTTTCTACCTCAACCTGACCAATCAATATGTCTCCGATATCTGATTATGAAGAAAAATTTTACTTTATTATGTAAGGTCATAAACCCTAAACTATCAAGCTAGTTTATTGACCTTCAATATCAGAGCACAAAATATTTAATATGTATATATAATTAAAACATTGATAATTGAACTGAGACAGTTGGAAAAACCTGTAGCTTACACGTGAAGGGGTTCAGATAGACGGTACTGAGGGAAAATATACTTAGGATACATAGAAGATATCAAGAAAAAAAAAAAATCATAGCTGTATATTATTTTTTTGTAATGTAATTTCCAAAATTACACGGTTGTTGGGCAAACAAATGTTTTTAGTTTGAGGAATGAAAATGGAAAGAAAAAATGTTTTTAGGGCTAAATGTTGAGTCAAATGAGTTGCATGACAAGAGTAGGAAATAATACAGCCTTGTAGAGTGTAACAAAGACGGCCACGAGTAGACATATGAAGGCTCGACGCGACGTTCCAGCTTTGAGACAAGTGTGAAAAATGAGCAGTTCTTGGGAGCATGATTAAAAAATTCGGGCTTTGTTTCATTTAGCATCATTTTCAGATAGCTTTAGGTGGTTTATTACAAACTAGCGCTCGCTTACATCTTTTTCTTTTTTAAAAAACGAGCTTTTATTTAAGTATGCGTTGTTGTCTAGATGAAAGTCAAAAATAAATAATTTAAGCGAAATTCCTCAAATACACTGTTGAATCAATTCCTCAATATTGACTTCAGTTGTTCAAAAAACTTATGTATATAAACGTTCAAATGAAATTTATATCAAGAATACTTGATTTCTAAAAATTATGTCATACGAAGGATAGCCAATTAGTGTCCAATTATATTGATTAGTTATAAATATGTGATGATTTTGTTGTGGCTAATTATTGTATTGTTAATTTTATCTGCGATCGGGAAAGAAAAAAGTGACTCACCGGCGGGTGGTCGGAGGCGCAGGGCGCGCTACGGTCGGCCGGCCGCGCCGCTCGACTCTTCAACAAAATCATCACATCATACATTTGACACAACAAGTATATCCGCCTACTTGCGAGATATTTCATGGTTAAAGTTACGTGTTCAAGTTAGGTATTTTCAATTAGAGTCATAGCCAATCAACTAAAATACTTTTAGTAGTAATAATAGTCTTTTTCTTATAATATAACTACTAGAGCTACTACTATCACTTACCTGCATTAATTATAGTATATACATATATTTAATTCAGCTAACGTTATGCTAACAGTTGCGAAGATAAAAGCTCAATCACCGTGTAGACCATCAAGTCGTGGGGTTTATTGTAATTTCATAATATATATGACATTTAAAACAAAACCTTAATATAAAATTTATTTTATAAAAGTGCAAAATTACAGTTTGTACATGCAGTATTTTTGATATACCTAATTCTTTTGGGTAAACAACTTATTCCTACAGATATTGGAGATTTTCTTACCGAGCAGCCACGGGGCGACATTGTCGTTGTCTTTAGCACTCTTGAGGATGGTCTCGGGCAGCGGCAGCGAGTGACGCACCATGGCACCGTAGAGGCCGTACTCCGCCATGATGGTGGACCGGCCCCAGCATTTCTCCGTTTTGCGCCACTTCGCACGTCGGTTTTGGAACCACACCTAGAAATAATATATGATACAGAGCCTACAAATCAAGAATTCTTTATAAATAAACTAGAAAGTCATGTATGTTCTATGCAATAAAGCATTTGTATCAGTAAAATTTGTGATATTACTGAGAGAGTGGGATTCTCTGAATGAAATTCTTAATACTTATAATGATAAATTCTGACGTATGTAATTATTCGTAATATGCTCTGATTTTATAATAACTACAAACTCATTGCGAATAAACCTAAAGGCACTTTTCCAATTTAGAACATAAATCGATTACATGGACAGCGTCCAGCCGGCGAGGGATTTGAAGTATGCGACGCCGCGTTATTAACTAAGCGAGTAAAACAAACCAATTAGTGGGAACAAACGCGACTAGATTAAATTTTCAAACTCGAGTGTAGCTCTGTACCTAACCGGCAGGGCTGCGACGTACCGGTATTAGCTTTTATATGAGTTTTCATTATTCAGTCATTATCAGACGATAACGAAACAGAATTATGGTTTAATCCATCAACCTTATCACTATACGATATAATCTAATGACTTTTGTCATTTAAGAAAAGCCTCTGTAGAACAGAGTTAGAGTAACTGAAAATTTTTCTTCTTACCAATGATACAACCAGACAAAGATTATTATTAAACTTAATATTGTTGCATATACTTCGAGTTCGGAGACTGGCAGCCCTACAATCTCAGTGCAGAGCGCCTGCGAAACAGTTAATTTCTAATTAAATTTGTTAATTAAACTCGATCCGCGCTCTCCGCGCAAATTAATACTCCGGTAGTATTATATTCCGCCCCCTCTCCGTAACCCCCTCTTCTCAAATCCGCCTACTTGCTTTGTGAGCGCAACGTGTATTTACCAATGTATTATTATATTATTAATGATATTCAGAAACCGTGACATTCAAGAAGTTGCCTACCAGGATTGATATTTTTCAGAAATAAGTCTTTAAACGAATTACTGGTCAAGCACAATAGCGATATTATTAAATAAACTACTACGATTTGTCTTCCTCTATATAGTAAACGTATGTATAGACTTTGTAAGTGTCGGCACGTAACTTCCAGATTTCGCAGAGTATTTGTGGTTGGAATAACCTAAAACGACCTCATTTTTATTTATAGGATATAGGTGATCCTTCTGTGAATGTAATCGTGAAGCGTAAGGCGTGCGTCTCTCGATTACGACCGAGTATTCCTCCTGTAAATTGATAGAAAATCCAGTGCACAGTAGTTTCAAACGTACACAAAATGCCCGACGAGTTCAGTAATATAAGACGCTTTTCTTTGCTAGTTAGGTATATAAATGATGATTTGATTACAAGTGACATTATTGTCCGAAGCTCCGACAATGTTAACCCTTGAAAGAAAGCATGTTTGTGAGCATAATGATCACTTAGCGGCGTTTAAGTCAGCTTATCCTGAAGGGATGGACGGGCTTTATTGATTGGACACTACGACCCGGTGACAGACTAATTGTGTGGCCCGGGATTACCCGGCCTGCACGGATTACACGGCCTGCCCGGATTACACCCGGCTACTCTAATTGTTTGCGGTCGAGCCCCGCGGCCCAATGATTATTGGAAAATTCAATTGTTTTGTTGGCTCAACATTGTCGTGTTCATTCTTTCTGACGGTTAAGAGTGGATCAGACTTGTGCGGTGGAATCAGAGGAAGTAGCATAATAAAAAATCAATTTGATATTAATTAATAGTACTAAGAAACTGCGGCAGTGTTTCACCGCTTAAACACAAGTAAGAGTAAGTAAGTTGGAGGAGAATGCAAACACATCGTCGGCTCTCAAAGTAATTCCGCTCGAGTTATCTGCTCAATATCGTGTAATTGGCACAGCCCGTAGCCGTAGGTAGAGGCAGAGACAGGCAATGCACGGAATCTCCAAATTTCCTAATTAACATAAAGGCACAAGGTTGGTGTAATTGTTAATTTGGCAGCACATTCGGGCACGTTAATGACGCGTGTACTGCGAATTACACCCGCCCGACAATTTATTATCCATGTGTGACAATCCACTTTCACATGACCTCGTGGATGCGCTATTGTGGCCGACTCGAGAGCTCTTCGTATGCTGGACGCATTAGTTTAGGGTTGAATTTGTAACGTCTGTAAAACAATTTGTTACGAGTAGCTGGTAGATTTGAAAGCTAACTTTCAAGCTAGTGGTACAAATAAACTAGCAGTATCTGGCATTAAGAGATGTGAGAGCGAATAAATCAACGTTTACAAATCATTAGAACTTACGCAACAAGATCAATATTTCTTAAACAGTATAAATATTTCGTGCTTATGATTTAATTAGATTGTAAAAGTAAATCTTCCGTAAGAGCCCTTTATGGGTTGCAATAAAGTTGTGAACATTTATTGAAAGGGCGCGGGCGAGCCACTTCCCTCCTCACAGTATCTAATCTATCACACAAAAGGGATGAAGCTCAGCCGACAGGATCACAATCAAGGTGCTAAGTACGCTCCCGGGGGACGGGTTCCCTCGGGGCTCGCCTTTATTGTATAAATACTATAATCTACTAACACGATCACTCGCCATAATTGTTGTAAGTGTAGGAAATTGATTTTGTTGACCCAGAGTGAGACGTAGCCCTCTCTTTATTCTTATAAATGAATGAAGTTTCTTCATCACCTTTCAACATTATTTAATCAATTGATGAGAGTCATCAGGTTAATAATTTCTACACAATGGGATCACGTCGATCGGGTGAAAGGCGTCAGGGCAAATGACAGCAGCAAGGAATCGGACAGTCAGCAATGACATTAGGTCGCTGACAGCTGAAATAGGTTTCAGGAGGCATTCTTATTTGCGAGATGCATAATTTCATTTCTTGGTGCGCGCGGGGGCGTGGCAACCAATCAGGTGCAGCCTCGGTTAAATGGAGTTGCGATTCTGTTCCCAATTTGGCAGCAATTTGCGACACAATGCCGTCGGTCGCCTCGGCGCCGCGTCGCCTTAACAAGTTATTATTCAATTGGGGTGCGTTGGACACATTTGGATTAATCTATAAGTTAATATGCGGTTTGCGAGTGATGAGTTAAGTGCTCGCTTTGCTTTACACATTGTCACCGCCACAATATTCAATTTATATGAGAATATTAATTCAAAAGAATAATTTACAGTCACAGTTTATTATTATATATTATATTATGTAGTTGGAAACGGAAACCTAAAATAACTGTAATTTATTAAGTGCAAGTCAGGTTGCGCCCGATGGAGGGTAGTTATAAAAATATGATAATAACGACTGGCGGAGACTTCCGACAGCACGTTAGACAAACAAGGCGAGCCGTATCGCGGGAAATTATTATAGTTTACATTGAGCGGGGCGCAAGCGAAGAGCTCGTGCGAGATTAGCATTTGCAATAATTTAAAAGGTTATTTATTGGTACGATTAATACTATAGACTATTTTATCGTTAATTATTCCAAATCCTCCTTTATGGTAGAAATTAGTTAGGGTTAAAGATATGTTTAAAGCTATGTCTTACATTAATTGTATAACTTTTACATATAATAACACACGGATTATAATTAAGACTAGTTAGAAGATTAGTTTTTATATAATTCCTTAGTAAGAGACTTCAAAATGAACACAACGTAAACCTGTTCCAAATCGCTATCACTCGAGACTTAGTCCAATTGTCAACAGCTGCTCCAACGGAGCAACTAGCGGCCGTGAATAAGCGATTTCGGGCAATTGCTCGGTTTGCCCAATCGAAATAATTGCTATAATATCTTGACAGAGCGCCAATTGACGTCTAATCAACGGATGACAGTTTAAACGAGACCACGTTCAAAATAAGGCGAATAAAACAAGTGTTCACTACGTTTGTGTGTGTAACAAGAAGTGATTTGCTTCGGACCATCCCAATTATGCACAAGTAGTGAGATACGGTGAATATGTGAGATAGGTAATCTAAATATGTTGAAAGTACCAAATTTATCGGCGGCTGAAAGCGGCTGCGACTGCCGCGTAATCTCCTTGCCGCTCAAAAGACGTCTTTAATATATTTTTTAATTGCAATCGCCTCATATCCGATTATGATATGGAGATTTGCGTTATTGCAAATTGATTTCAATAGTTGCCATAAACGTGTATCGGTTTAATGTCGGAATTAATACAGATTACTCCGATGGCTCTCTTTGTGTGCGAATATTCCAATATTTGGCGAATTTTTAATTCGTTCGCGTATTCTATTTAGGATATTTAATAATTGCTATTTCTCTTATCCATATTGCGATACGTAATCCCGTCAAACGAACTGTCGAGTGGCAGATTTACCTACGAAATGGGACCATATTTCATGGACTCTTTCAAGGTGCAGGTGACGAATAATGTCGAGGAGAATGAGCGTAATGATGGGCAAACAATTACCCAATATAACGATAGGCAAACATCAGGGGAAGTGCGGTGTCAGAGCGGAATGTGTCGGACAAACACAATTCTACACTTGAGCATACATAATCAGCTTTATTATTCTTTATTAGATCAATTTTATCTGTTATACTGTAACTTCTAAATTGTAAATATTAACGGTTTTATAGTGACAGCTTTTGTAAGACATTTGGTACGAATAGTTGTAGTGTGTTGTTTAAATGATGTAAGGGAAAGAAACGATTAAAAACGATGTATTGAAATTGTAAATACAAATAGAAATATGACAGACACTGGTAAGAGTTGTTTTTTGTTTCTCTTATAGGCAAAGTGGCTGCCTATCGGCAGACAATGCGCCTTAATGAGAGTATCGCCTTGCCATAATTGCTTCTTTGTTTCTTCAACAACGACTTAAACTATATTATACTTACAAAGACATCTAAAACAATATTTATTCTTAGTATATATTATAGAGATCAACCAGATTCTTTGTGGGTAATTATTACTTGCTCACTCAAATGAATTATTTCCATTATAATATATTAACAAATGTACAGTCAGCATAATTAGTGTTCAAAGAGCGAATCGTTGTTATTCCAAG